TGAAACCTTTCATTACTTGTTAGATTGAATTTTTTTTTTCCATGTAGATAGCCACTTTATTTTCTGTATAAACTTAACATTCCCTCTGTCCAGGAAATTACTTTTTGTTCAATCCCACTTTATCCTTATTAAATTTGTTGCATTTATTTTAACAAAGGTGTGTATTTAATATTATTTACCTAACTTCCATCTTTTCCATCATTATTTTTACCATCACAAAACTGTTAAAAATCTATGGTGGAAGTATTACTTGCTATGTTAAAACATGCAAAAAATTAGGATATGAGGAATTTAAGCAATTTTAAGAACTCTATGCACATTGTGAAAGCTTGGATAGAAACCTGAGTCTCTTGGATCACCTTTTATCTCTCAGCTGTTTCCTGTTGTTTTTGCTAAGTTCAATTCCAACAGTTAATTCATAGATACTAATAGGTACTTCATCCTTTGTTTTTGTTTTGTTTTTGCCATTTGCTGGGGTTTGAACTCAGGTCTTACACCTTGAACCACTCCACCAGCCTTTTTTCTATTGATGGGGTTTTTTCAAGATAGAAGTAGCTAGGAGTAGAGGCGTGGAGTCACCATGCACGGACTTGTTCCTTTTCTTGTTGTGAACAGTTCTTTCCAGTGTACATTTGTTGCGGAACTCTATACCTGACCTGTTAAGCAGTTTTCAGAGTGTTGGGTGGTGGGTTTTTTTTTTTGGTTCTTTTTTTTTTTTTGCAGTACTGATATTGAACCTGCTCACACTTTGGTAGGCAGTCATTCTACTTCTTGAGTTACTTCCACCAGCCGCGTTGTGTGTGTGTTGTGTGTGTGTGTGTGTGTTGATGTGTGTGTGTGGTGGGTGGTGGTGTTGGTGCTAGAGTGTGGTCTGTGGTGTGTTGTGTGTGGTGTGTGTGTGGTGTGTTGTGGGTGTGTGGTGGGTGTGTGTGTTGTGGTGGGTATTTTCAAGATAGAGTCTTGAGACTAATTGCCTGGGCTAGCTTCAAACCTAATCTTCTTTTTAACCACTTTGAAGCTGGTCATTCAGTGACCTTGGCATGATAACAGAAAACTTTTAAAAAATTTTTTCAGGGAAATGCCTCAATTTTGACATCCCACATCTTTTGAGTAATATATCTGGTTGCTGAAAACAAATTTGTACCATAACTATAAGGTCGGTAATTTTTTGACTTTTCCAAGTTTTGGTTTATAAAATTGTAACCATAACTATTAAGGTGTACTTTTTTGAACATTTCCAAGTTTTATATTTCCAAAAAGAAAAATAAAAGATGGTAGGAATGGGTGATTAAATTTACCAACTTGATTGCACCCAACACCACCCATACTTGGTTTTCATGTAGATGTCTTCCCATGTGCTTTCCAAAAAAAAAATTTTTTTTGGCCATATTTTAAAATCAAAAACACTACTTATAAAACTTTATTGTCTTTTCCCCTCCTCCCCCCTACTACCCTTTCATTATAGCATTCCCTCTAACCATTCATTGGGAATTAGTAAATCATGTGGTTAACTGTTCACACCCTTATTTTATCTGTTTTTTAAAAATTGTTTTCTTTCATCTACCCTCTTTAAAGACAGTCTTTTATGCAGTCCATGCTTGGGCCTGGAAACTCACTTGTATAATCCATTGCTGGCCTTGGAATTCAGATCCTTCTGCCTCAGCCTCCTGGGTGCTGGGATTTACAGTTTGTGCCTTCCCACACTTGGCCTTTAAGCCTTTTTTTAGAGTGGGGTGTTGTAACTGGGCCTTGAGCTCAGGACTTTATGCTTGCTATCAGCTGCTCTATTTGAGCCCATGACTCCAAGCCTTTAAGACACTTTTTAAATCAGTATTTTATTCATTACCTTTTTCTTATGATTCTAGAATTTATTTGAATTTATGAAGGAATGCATTCTTTCTGTATGCCAATTTAATTGGTAATGTGAAAGTTGTCCTGCCTTATGGTATTGTGGAGGACTCATCTCGGTTTGGTATTGGACCAGTTTCCTCCAAACAGTTTTTTTTGAAAATTGTTATACATATCTAAGAGTCACGTTAAATTTATGTAATTAGTTACTAGCATAATTATAATTTAGATGATTTATCTGTTTGTATGTGTATCATTTTTTTGTAGCCATCTGATTTCTGTTCACATTTACAAATGATTGAGGGAAAGATTTCTACATAATCTTATCATAGAAGAAAAGAAAAAGATAGCTTTACTGCTGTGGTTATCACAGGCGGTACAAGCAGAACACATTACAGATACTTGAAAAATTACCTTCATCTTTGGACACGGCCAGTTAGCGTAAGTATATTGTTCAGGAAAATGCTGCTATTTACTTTTGAAAGAAATTTATAGATACATTGACTTTTATTGAAGTGTCCTTTTTGTCCCTTTTCATTCCCTTTCAGTGGTAGTAGTGGGTATCTTGATCGTTCCGTGTGTTAAAAATAATTCTTATTCCTACTTCACTATTTGCCGTAACGTTTATAGATCATCTGGAATTGTTACTGAGCATTAATTGGAGGCACAGAGTTTTTGACAGCCATTATTAAAATTTAAAATAGCTTCATAATTTGTTTAAATTCCAGTCTCACTGAATGTCTTTTAAATTCACTGCTGTAATCCACAGTGTCTGGCGAATAACTGCTTACATAGTAAATGCTCAATAAGTGCTTTATCAAATGAAAGCATCAGTCCCATTAAAATAAAAATATATATATGTACCTTATTACATTACTGATAATAACTGAAAAATAAATCATTGTATGTTTTTCCAGCAAAAATTTCTGAGTTGCTTATATCCCATTGTCCAAATCAGAAGAATATTTATAGAACCTATGTTTACTTTTTCTTTTTTTGGAGCAGTAGTGTAGTTTTACTTGGCCTCATGCTTGCTAGCAGGTGTTTCTCAACCTTTGCCTAGCAATTTTGCTTTAGTTTTCAAATTAGGGTCTTCTCATTTATGCTGGGCTGCTCTGGACTGCAATCGTCCATTTACTTATGCCTCCTTTGTAGTTGGGTGATGACAGAGCACACCACCATGCCCAGCTTTTTTTTGTTAAGATTGAGCCTTAGCTAACTTTTTTCCTGGGACTGGCCATTGAACCGTTGATCTTCCCAATCTCTACTTCCAAGTAACTGGTATTACAGGGTGTGAGCTTTTACATTACCATTTGTTGGGATTGTTTTGTTAATTTACATTTAGTCTGAAAAAACTGAGTCTTGAAATGGGTACATCTGCACAAAATTGCATTATTTTTAAAAACCTTTTCCATATTTATCTCGGAGGCTATTATACTCAAATATTCTCTATATTATATATGTTCATATAAATAGGGTTTAAATTTTTTCTTTTTGAAGTAAATTACAGTGACTTTTTGGAGTACCTTTCTTGAATATTTTGTGTTTATTGCCTGAAAAACTTATGGTAAGAACATTGATTTTTTTCTTAAGTATTTATTTTATTTAGCTGTATGTTATTTATTTGCTTATTATTTATTTACTTAGCTGCTAACTGGTTATTGAACTCAGGGTCTCCTGCTTGCTTGTTACTCTAGCTGAAGCTACTCCCCAGTCCTTTTTGCTTTTTAGTTTGTTTTTCAGTATGGTCTCATGCTAACTTTTACTAGGCTAGTCTTGAACTCCAATCCTCCTACCCCATTCCTAGAACAAGGGTCTTTGCTAAACTTTTTGCTCTGGCTGGCAGCAAATGCTTGTCTTTTAGCTTTTTTTTTTTAATTCATATGTGCTATGGTTGTTTGGGCCATTTCTTCCCCCTCCCCCTGCTTACTAGCTTTTTATAATTAAAGTTTCTTTCTACTGAAGAGCTCAGTTATGGCCAAGGGGCATGGTGGTACACATCTGTAATCACAGAGATCAAAGAAGGATTGCACGTTCGAGAGGCCAACCTGGACAAAAAAACTGTCGCGTTATGACCCTGGTCTTACCCCAACAAGCCAGGCATGGTGGTACTCATCTGCTTAATCCAAGCATAAGAGAGCATAAGTAGAAAGATGGTGATCTTGACAACTGGCCAGTTGGTAAAAAATTCAAGACTTTCTGAAAAATAACTAAAGTTTAAACAAAGGCTGGGGCATGGTTCAAGTGTTAGAGGCACCTGCCTTGCAAGTTGCAAGACCCTTGCAAGTTCAAACCCTAGTACCACCATCAAAAAGGAACTCAGATTAGCATGGGCCTTCCCTTCCCTTCTCTTTGTTTCCGTTCCCCTTCTGGTTCTCCTTTCCTCTCCCCTTTCTGTTGGCAATTCTTTATGTCGAACTTTATTTCCATTTCCCCTCTCCCTCTCCCATTCCCCTTCCATGGAATTATGTTGAATGTACTTACTTTTGTTTTGGAATGTTGGGCTAGAATTGTTTATCTGCCGAGGAGAGAAACACATGAAAGTTCTATGGAAACCTATGTGAAGTGCTCTAAATAGTAGCAGTAGAATTTTTTGATAGAAGATTTTTATGTGTGTTGTATGGTATGCACACGCACACTATTAATTTTATGTGAATTTTAAAGTTATAATGTTATTCTTCTTTATTTTAGGGCATATTTATCATTACTATATTCATGGCCAAAAGGAAATGAAATACGTACATTCGGAAAGGAAGTTTGAACCTTTCAACAATATAGATATTGAAGTAAGAGAATCTAGTCTTAAATTTACTACAAATTGTTAAGTGTCTATTTCCATCTCAAGTAATTCTTGGATAACACCCAATCAGGTTCAAAAATTAGACAACTTCTTTTCTCCTTGTCTTTTACCAAAAGTACTTGGTTATTTGGATATACAAATAAGCGAAATCATTTCTAAAGTATTTTTTCCTGACCCTATTTGTTGTAAGTACTTGGTTTCTTTTTTCCTTCTTTCTGTAGAGAGAATTGTGATGGAATATCATGCCTTTGAAAGCAAGGAGAAAAAGGGATATATATGGTATATAACATAGTTTCTTTTGTTTCTTTGGAAGTCTTATGGTGATGAAAGATTTTAGGAAGAGCAGAATATTTGAGTGTTGGGTTTTACTTAATACCCTTATCCACATTAAGAAAGAATTTCACTTAAATGTTGTCCTACTTTTTTACCTCTTCAGGCAAATCTTGAATTAAATGTACTCAAGAATTTCTGTCCATCTGATTTGCTTTCTTGCTTTTCTTTCTCTTTTTTTTTTTTTTTTTTTGTCTTTTTCTTTTATCAAGATGCTACTTCAGGCTATTTGATCCATGGGCTGAAAAAAAAGTCACATAAGAACTTAATTATTTTTTTTTATTTTTATTTTAGATTTCTATGTTTGAAAAAAGGAAGGCCACCTAAGATTTTCAACCTGAGGGAAATTACAAGTATGACATGCAGACGTTGTATATAACCCACAGCATCTGATTAGTTTTGAGTTCAAGGCTCATGTTTTGAAGAGACGGTGTAGTGGAAGGGATTAATCCGCTATCATTCCTTCTTATATGATAGAGAAAAACCTACCTGATGATCCATGCTTTCCGTCAAGTATGTTAACCTCATCTCAGCTCAAATGTTGCTGGACTAGGGATAGTGATTTTCTTAAATAATTACTAGTTGGACGGGTATTAGATTAGTTAAATAAATCATGGAAAACGTTTTTCCTTATTTCAAGGGGGGGGCCCTTTTAAAAAGTTATTATATATTTGTGATTTTTAACCCTTGAATTTGTGTATATTCAGTATCCAGATGGAAAAAGCACTGGCCATAAGAAAGCTGTTCTTTTAAACCTTCTTACTGAAGTAAATTTTTGGATATGTATTCATGCTAATTCATTTATATATTCCTGAGATTATCTTTCTCTGTACATTTAATTTGTAAGGAAAGTTTTACACTTTATGTAGTCACAATCTGTTCAGTATTTTTTCTTTATACTTTGATTTTGTCTTGCCATTGAAAGCTTTTTGCACCTTTAAATTTTTAAAAATGCCTTGGGGGACATGCCCTCAAGGTTTAGAGCGCTGAGGTCCTTTAAATTTTGAAACCTCAGTACTTTTACCAAAAATACAAAAAAAAAAGCCCTGATCCTGTAGTGTTTTGTTTTTTTAATTTTTGTCATTGTTATGTGTTAATGCATTTCTGCGTTTTCCCCTTTTGTTTGTAGAGTTTTGAAGATTTAATTTAATTTTCCATTGGGGTTCATTCATTTAAGAAACAACCCTAGTGGGATTATTGGGTTTTGCACTGAATTTATATAATTAATACTAAATCTTCTCATCTACAAGTTTTAAGTTGTTAGGTATTTGTAATAGTTCCTTAGTACATCCCTACTTTTCTGAGTTCTGTAGTCAAATTTCCTGATTTGCAACCCCTGTTTGCCACTTTCCTATTGTGTAATTTTGGACAAACTACCTTAGCTTCCTCCTATCTGAAATGGGTGCAGTAGTTTATACCTCAGAGAGGTACTGTGAGGTTTAAATAATAAACCAAAGTCAGGTGTTGGGAGCAAGCCTGTAATCTCAGCACTTATGAAGCTAAGGCAGAAAGTTTACTAGTGTTCCAGGCTAGTCTGGACTGCATAATGAGAGCCTGTCTTTAAAGAAAAAAAAAAAAAAAAAAGAAAGGAAACTGAGGTAAGTTCTTAGAATCATGCCCAGCACAGTTTAGAAAGTGCTTAGTACATCTTAATACTCAGTGGTTGAGTCTCCTGTGGTGTTTCTCACCTCTGTTTAATTTGCTATTTCTGATTTTGCATGCTTATAGACGAAAAGATACATCAAACGATGTCTTCAGAATGAGAGCCAATAAGATGAGTGATATGCAAAAGGTTCTCTCATAAGAGCAAAGTGATATAGTTTGATTGAAAAAAACTTTCTTACAAGGGCTTTTTGGAAAGAGAAGGCTTTATTTTAAGTTGAGGGCTTTATACCGGTAAAACTGAGGTATAATACATTAGAATGATAATGTTTATCTTTGGGTATATGAGATTGTATTGCTAAGGAAAATAATATAGATAATTGTGCTAATTCTGCTTTTTGATGCATGGTAATGTAGTTTGTAATTTATCTGCATACAAATTTCCTATGTACGTGAATCTGGTCTTTGAAAGTCTATATAAAGTCAAATTTAGTACTGTTGACTATTTTGTTTATACTAGACAAACTTGCTGCTACTAGACTCTTAAGATTTTTCCAGATGATTTTCATGTGAAAAAATTTTACATATGTTAATTCTTTACGTATTCCCCAGATTGTCTTCCCTGTGTAGGTGTTTGTTGATACAGAAGTTTTACACTTATGTAGTCATGTCTATCATTTTTTTTCTTTTAGGGGTGGTGCTACTTGGACATTTTTTTCTTTATACTTTGATTTTTGTCAAAGTATTAGCTCTGATAGAATTGTGAAACCTTTTTCAGTTTGACAGGTTGATTAGTATGTAATTAATTATTGACTTTAAATAAGAAACATTATAGTAATGTGGGACTACTTAAAACTGCTTTTCTGAGGGTAGATTAAAACTAACTAGGTTATATAGGATGCAATTTGAAGAATCAATGTATTTGTGTTACTGTTCTGAAGTAACTTTAATTGAATTATTATTCACTCCTCAGTGGTTAAAATTGCTTCTGTTTTATAGAAACAAACATTTTGTTTTGTTTCACTTACCCTTTTGATGCAGAGTTAAAGGATGAAGATGATGATGATGATTGTTTCATACTTGAGAAAGCAGCAAGAGGGAAAAGACCTATTTTTGAATGTTTCTGGAATGGACGATTGATACCATACACATCTGTTGAAGAGTAAGCTTTGATTTTTGCTGAAATTGCATTGTTTTGTAACCTAGTTTTTTTTCTTTTTACTGATTGATACTTTATTCTGTTCAAGCTTTGACTGGTGTACACCTCCTAAGAAGAGAGGGCTTGCACCAATTGAGTGCTACAATAGAATATCTGGTGCATTATTCACTAATGACAAATTTCAAGTCAGCACAAATAAACTGACATTTATGGATCTTGAGCTGAAATTGAAAGACAAGAACACCCTTTTTACAAGGATTTTAAATGGACAGGTATGACTTTTATCATGTTTAGAATATTTGCAAATGGATTTTTAAGTAAAATCAAAGACACTAGTAAGGTGGGGTTTTACTGATATTTTGCATACTTTTGATATTTTGACCATGGTGTGCAAAGAAATGATAAATACTTGATGATTAAATATGCTTAACCTGATTTAAAATATTATACAGTGTGTATCAAACATTACATTATACCCTGATAACCTTCATGAGTATTTTTGGGGTGATGCTAGGGTTTGAACTCAGGGCCTTATGCTTGCTAAGCTTGTGCTCTAACACTTGAGCCATATCCCAGCCCCAAAATAGTTTGTAAAATTTTTATTATTATATATTAATTGTACAAGGGAGTTTCCATGGTATTTCATGCATATATTGTACTTTGATCAGATTAATCCCTTTATTGCCTTCATTTTTTCCCTCCCACATTTTTCAGTAGCTTTCAGTGGGTTTCCTTATGTCACTTTCCTACATAGACACAATGTATTCCAATATTTTTCACCCCCATCATTCTCTTTCCCTCTCCTCCCTTTCATACCCTCAAATTCCATAATTGCAATCATGTTTTACATATACATACATTCATATATATGCATACATGCGTATACATACATGCATATATATATACACACACACATATATATATACTTAGGTATATGCATACATATACACATATGCATATACACACAAACATGTACATATAATACTTGGGTCTTTTAAGAAGTATCCAATGAGAGTCAGGTATGGTGGCTAACTGCTCACTCCTATAATCCCAGCAACTGGGGAGGCAGTGATCTTGGGGAATTACAATTCAAGGCTAGCCCAGGCAAAAAGTTAGTGAGACTTAGACTGGGAGCATGCTTCAAGTCGTAGAGCCCCTGCCTGGCAAAGCACAAGCCCCTGAGTTCAACCCCAGTACTGGAGAGAAAAAAAAAAAGGTAAACTAAAAGTTAGTGAGACCCTGTCTCACAGGTAAGCTGTGCCTGGTGGCATGTGCCTGTACTCCCACCTACACAGGAGGCATAGGTGGGAGAATTGAGGTCCTGGGAAAAAAAACACAAAACCCTATGTGAAAAATAACTAAGGCAATAAAGGGCATAGTTCAAGTGGTAGAGCCCCTGTCTAGCAAGCTTATGACCCGGACTTCAAACCACAGTACTGCTAAACAAAATTAAAACAAAAACTCCATTGATGGGCCAGGTTTGTAGCTTAGTGGTGGAATGTTTGTATGCACAAGATCCTAGACATGATCTCCAGCACCACACACCAAAAAAAAAAATTGTAAAAATGAGTTAGTATTCAGTTATGATACACTTAGAATACATTTTTATAACATGGTGTTATTCAAAATTTATGAGCAATTTTATATTTTCAAAGATTATCTACAACAGATCAATTTTATTCGTCACTACATTGTATTCTTTTAAAATTGAAAACACAGAAAATTTGAAAATGAAGGAATATCATAATGAATTTACACATACTCCTCTCTTAGATTAACAGGCACTTTCACTCCAACCATTACACCATGGTTGAGTCTTACTGAATCTCTTGATTTAATTAATGCACCATGATGCGTTGATGATGATTCCTGGGACATGGTTTGGGATTTATCAGTATTAAATTACATGTATTGGTTAACTTGGTAGGCAGATTTCTCCATTCCTGGTTAATAATTTTTAATATCCATGTCAGATTGACAAAGTTGACAACAATGATTTGCTGATTTGGGAAAGAATTGCTACTTTGGGAAGTGGATGGGACTGAAATTCTTTGAAAAATATGTACCATTTGTACATCTGAATCTTTACCATGTACATGTACATTTCATTCAAATAACTTTAAAATCATGTTGTATTACTAAGATACTCCTCCACCTGCAAGCTGCAAAAAATGAGATTATTTTAATTTTGCCTCATTTTCCTTTGGAAATGATTTAATATGGCATATAACGTATGTAGGAAGGAAAGCTTCTGTAACTGGATTATCTGCTGTGTGTAATGGGGAGATTGCATTCCTTAGTCTACAGACACTTATCAAACAAGTGTGTAGCATCTTTTTGCTTGAGCAGAAATCTTTATACTCTTTTTATCAAGCTGAAGAGTGACTGGCACAATCACATTCTTACATATTATAAAACATTTATAACTTAGTTTTTGAGTAGATTATATAATGAAATAAAAATGTTTTGCAGAACAGTGGTCATCAACTTGTTTTTCATTATCACTATCAAATAGAGCCTTTCTAGACTTTTTTTTTTTTAATTGGGGTTTGAACTCAGAGTCTTGTGCTTGCAAGGCTCTAACCTTGGAGCTACATAAGTGTAGGGTCTCACACTTATGCTTGAACCAGCCTGGACTGTGATCTTATTTTGCTCCCCATATAGCTGGCAGTCATGCCTTTTGTTCATATAATGAAATAAAAATGTTTTGCAGAACAGTGGTCATACATACGTTATATGGCATATAACATACATACGTTATCCTCTTTATCTCTACCTCCCTAGTAACTAGGATTACAGTGCCAGGCTGACATTTGTTTTCTTAATAATTCCTTCCTATCTGTTTATGTACTTTAAAAACATATCTGTTTTTAAAGGAAAACAGATACATAAAGAAAATTTTGGTTTTAGTACTGGGAATCAAATCCAGGGCCTTGCACATGTGCTCTACATTTAGCTACACCCCTGGCCCCCATAAAGAGATTTTTTTATTGCCCCATTGATAATGTATGTGATTTACTATGAAAAGGCCTCCGCTCACCCCTTTCCAATTCAGCTAGTTGTCCTAGGCAACCAATGTCCTTCACTTTGAGGGGTGGCCTACAGTTGAAAGGATGAAAAGGAAATTTTGTCTTGGTATTGACCATTAAGACCCTGGTTCTGGAGCCTTTCTTCTCCCCCTCCCACTCCCAGGTTGAGGGTGTTCCTTTTCCCTTTTCATTTTTCCCTCTTTATCCTGCTTTACTAAATAAACCGTGGCTAAACTACAAAAAAAAAAGAAAATTACCCTGGCTCCAAGGATAATGTAAAATATTTCTTAAGTAATGTTTTTGTTTGAAATCTCACAACTTTATATAGCAAAAGGATCCAGAAAAATATGTTGATTTTTTTTTTTTAAATAAGTTTTCTGAGGTGTGGTATTAGAAGGAAATATGAAATGTGTAACAAGTATCTTAAGGCTGTATTTGTTTAATAGTAGCTGTATTTCATAGGACATTTAAAAATCTTACAGGAGCAGCGAATGAAAATTGACAGAGAATTTGCCTTGTGGCTAAAGGACTGTCATGAAAAGTATGACAAACAAATAAAATTTACCCTTTTTAAAGGGATAATTACACGTGCTGATCTTCCATCTAAAAAGCAAGGTCCATGGGCAACATACTCAGCAATAGAATGGGATGGAAAAATTTACAAAGCAGGACAGCTGGTAGGTTTAATCTAATTTTTTATTCAATTTTTAGTAGAATTTGAAACTAAATTACATGTATTAGAGTTTAACAACAAAAAATAATGCATATATAAGCTCCTAAAGAGCCAGTAAAGAATGAAAAGGACAAACTCATTGTAATTACATAATACATTATAGCATTGAAAATAAAAAGCCTGTTTATTTCCAAAGGTTCTCCATCAGCAAGATTTTTATTGTTCTTAAGGATATTGAAGCATAAAAGTGGAGATAATAAAAGCATAAATAATCATAGATATTGAAGGGCCTACATGCAATGAAGAGACATTTTAGGAGAAGAGGGTATTTTCTGACATTCAGTGGTGTTGGGGCTTGGAAGAAGAAAGCAAATCATGAAATATTTTGGGCAAATGTGGTATTTCTGTGAACCTTGAAAGAGATAAGAATCTTGGGTCTATAATTACAAATAATTACACAGATAAAAAGCATCCATTCTCTTCATTAATGTGAGGGACACCATCATGTATTTAAAACCATGGAATTGTGTGAGATCACCTAGAAGTAGTGTGTATAGCAAAAGAGGCCAAGGACTGAGGCTTTTCTAATGTTCATGGGTCAGAATGTAAAGGAGCTGGCAAAAAGAGACCTAAAAGATAAGCTAGTGAAATTGACAGAAATTAGAATTCAGTGTAACAAGTGCAAAGTTACAAGAAGGAAGAAGTGATCATTTTGTCAAGGGCTTTGAGGGCTTGAGTAAAATGTTTTTGAGATCTAGATGTGTTTCAAAGATATACACATCAGTCATTTCAGGGATAACCTGTTGTGTATTGTGAACCAAAATAGTTTAAAAATGAGGCTAGAAAGGTAGATTAAAGTTACAAACTCTTGTAGTCCTTTTTAGGAATTTCTGGGCTAATGGAAACATTACTCTTACATTTTGCAAACCAAGTAAGAAAAAGAAATATTACAGGCAAGTTTTGAGCAATTTATTCAATAAAAATGTTGTCAGTTTATAAACACATGCTTAAGTATCCATGTATGAAGAAACTTCTGTATCTTTACAAAGATTTGTTAAGACTAAGTGGAGATCTGCACAAATCAGAATTTATTAGACTATTAGAATGCTTTATTAGTTTTTCTAATGATAGTTATGAAGGGTTTTTGACTTGTATGAGAGAGTTCTATGACATACTTATTAAATCTGTTTCTGTTAGTAAATATTAATACCGAAGACTTTTTTTCAAACACCTAAATATTAGGTCAAAACAATCAAGACACTGCCCCTCTTTTACGGAAGCATAGTAAGATTTTTTCTTTATGGTGATCATGATGGAGAAGTATATGCTACAGGAGGAGAAGTTCAAATTGCAATGGTAAGACAGCAAGTAATAAAAAGTATTTATTAAAATTGCCTTGGTAACACTTTTGTCTAAATGTAGCAGTATTTTGTAATTTGCTTGCATTTGGCTTTTCCTTTGGTTATAAAGTTGTTGAAGTCAACATGAAATTTTTTTTTTTTTTTTTTTGGCAGTACTGGGGTTTGAACTCAGGGCCTTGTGCTTGTTGGGTAGGTGCTCTAGCACCTGAATCATTCCCCCAGTCTTCAAAGATTTTAATTATATATAGAAGTTAATATTATATGTATGTACATTGTCTTACAAACATATATACATGTATATGCACACACACGCATACACATTATTGATAGTTATCACATTAATTTTATAAAGTGCACATTTCAGATTGGGTGTTTGTCTCAAGTGATAGAGCAGGCCCTAAGTTCAAACTCCAGTATTACCCCCAATAAATAAATAAAGTGTACATTTCCTCCAGAACCCACAAATCAGTAATTGTTGGAGCCAGAATTCTATCTCAAAAATGACTAATGACAAGGCCAGGTGCTGTGGCTCAAGCCTGTAATATCTAGTTTCTTAGGAGGTGGAGATCAGGAATTTCGAGGTTTGAGGCCAGCCCCTGGCAAAAAGTTTGTGATAAACCATCTCAGCCAACAAAAAGCTGGGTGTAATGGCACACACCTATTGTTCTAGCTACACAGGGAAGCACAAATAATAGAGGAGGGTCACAGTCCATGCCAGCCCAGGATTAAAGCAAAACCCTGTCTCAGAAATAACCAACACAAGGGGTTGGTATCATGGCTTAAGTGGTACAGGACCTGCCTAGCAAAGAAGGTCCTGAGTTCAACCTACCCCCCTGCAAAAAAAAAAATTCCAAAACAAAGTAGATGATTAATTATAAGGCTAGGATATATTGTTTCCCTACACCAACTCTAATGATCACCAGGATTATAGAGACTAAATAAAAAGTCAAACACTGTGTTAGATTGTTAAGCATAGCCACTCTCAAAAATATGATAAAATAGATATCTTTGAAAGAAATGATGGATGGGAGGTTCAATTCAAATAGTTTTATTGGAAATGTTGGTATAAATTCATTTTATGTATTCAGGAACCTCAGGCACTATATGATGAAATAAAAACCGTGCCAATTGCAAAGCTGGATAGAACAGTTCCTGAGAAAGCTGTTAGAAAATATGTAGAAGATGAAATGGCAAGGTAAGTTACATTTTAAGAAGCATGACAAAAATAAGAAATTCAAAGGGGATTGTAGTGCTGCTTTTAAGTATTTTTGCGTATGCCTTCCATTATAGTGGTTGTAGTTTTAAGATGGTGTATATATTGAGGTGAACCTCTTGACATTAAATATTGGTATGTCTAGTTAAAAAAACAGAAACTTTGATTAGTAAAAAAAAGAAGGAAATTTTACATATCTAAAGTGTCATGTTCATAAAGCATTTTAGAAAACAATTTACTTTGGCTTACAGCTAAATAAAAATTGTAGTACTTATTGGGTAGTAAAGATCAGTATAAAGAAGGCTGGCATCATGGCAGCCACCAAAATCCCAATTCTTGGGAAGATGAGGCAAGAGGATTGCAAGTTTGAGGACAGCCTGGGTTACATCTCATGAGACCCTGTCTCCAAAAAGCAAAAGAAAAAGTTAAAAGGAAATAGAAAAGCAAAATTCCATTCTGAGATCTGCTTTTATACCTAATGATGCATTTTGTTTTCTACTAAATTTTTCTTGAGTTTCTTCTATATTCCAAATGTAACTTGCACTATAAACAAACAAAAATCCAAAAAGTTGACAACTTCTGTGTCATAATATCAAGAGCTTTTGTGTTGGTTCTTCAGTTGTCATAGAAAGATTAAAAAAGAAAAAAAAATTAGTTGATTAGTCATGTAGATATAACCTTTCAAAATATATTACTGATAACTTTAACATTCTAGTTGCTTATACATTTCTAATTAAGACCATAATTAACAAAGTTCATGAAACATTAATATTCTGGTTTCATAATAGGCTCCCTGATAGATTGTCAGTAACTTGGCCTGAAGGAGATGAATTATTGCCTAATGAGATTAAGCCTGCTGGAACCCCCATTGGTATGTTGCTGTTGTTTTCTAATATCAAAAATGCATTTATTTTGTCTTAACATGTAATGCGAAGACCCAGCAGATTGTTTATGTGTAATTAAGATACTCTTTCTTTTAATTTTAAACTCATAGGTGCGTTAAGAAAATAAAATTGAATAAAAAAAGGGGAAGCAATGCAAAAGCTTCCAGGAACAAGTCATGGAGGGTCTAAGAAACTCCTAGTTGAGCTTAAAGTTATATTACACAGTAAGTAAACAAACTAATTCGGGTCTTTAGTATCCATTTGGATACTAAATTTTTTGTATGATTAACTTCTTTTTATGTTGGCTTACTTTTATTAGCACATACTAATTGTACAAAAGGGTTTCTTTGTGATTTCAATACATGCATATAATGCACTTTGGAAATATTTGCTTTCCCCCTTTATTACTCTTTCTTATCTCTCACTCCCCTTACTTTTTTTAAATAACAGTTTTAAAGGGTTTCATTGTTTGCATATAATGTACAGCGATTATTCACCATCACTCCATCACCCTCTCCTTCTGCTCTCCCCACCTCAGTGATTTCCCCCATAACAGTCTTCCTTTTACATTCATGTCATTTTTTTTATTAGATCTAGATTCTGCATACAAATTATGTGGTTAATTTCTGTTACTACTTCTGACCATTTAGTTTTCACAGCACCATCTGCTGTCCTTTCCTTATTGAATGGTCTTGGCACCCTGTTGACAATCAGTTGACTACATGTGTAAGGACTAACTCTGTGTGTGTGTTTGTGTGTGTGTGTGTGTGTGTGTGTGTGTGTGTTGGATTCTTTAGGGTGTTTTGCATTGATGATCATGTTATCTATGAACAGATATAATTTTACTTCTTTTATTCCAAATAGGTGCTTTTTTTTTTTCTTACTTAATTGTTCTAGGTAGGACTTCCATTAATATGTTAAAGTGGTAAAAGCAGTCATTGTTACCCTGTTCCTGATCTTTGTCTTTCACTGTTGAGTCTATGTTAAGTATGGTTTTTATATAAGGCCCTTATCATGTTGAGGAAGTTCCTTTCTCTTTTTGTTTTTTGTTTTAGTTTTTAAATTAATTTTTGCAATACTGGTACTTGACTAGCACTTGCTAGGGCTGCACTTTATCACTTGAGCCATGCCCCCAGCCTTTTTTTGCTTTAGTTATTTTTCAGAAAGTTTTCTCATTTTTGCCAAGGGTTAGCCTTAGCCTGCAGTCCTCTTACCTATGGCCTCCCAGGTAGCTGAAATCACAGGCACATGCCACCACGTCTGGCTCACTTATTAAAAGGTGTCTTTCTCACTTTTTGCCCAAGGCTGGCTTCAAACTCTGATCCTCCTAATATCCCCCTCTTGAGTAGCTGTGCTTCTGGGCAGGAGACCGTGCCCAGCCAGGAAGTTGCTTTTACTTCCTTGTTTATTTGTTGTTTTAATCATGAAAAAATTATTTTGTCAACTGCTCTTTTTTTCTGGCAGTACTGGCATTTGAACTCTGGGTCTCATGCTTGCTAGGCAGATGCTCTGCCACTTCAGACATTCTGCTAGCCCTTTTTTATGTTGGGTATTTTTGAGATAGGGTCTTATGAACTGTTTGCTAGGGCTGGCTTTGAACTGCAATCCTCTGGTCACTGCCTCCTGAATAGCTATGATTATAGGCATGAGCCACCAGCACCTGGTTTCAAATGCTTTTTCTGCATCAGTTTAGTCCATTACCATTGCCCCCCCAATCCTTTTTTTAATGAGGTATAGTACATGGATAGGCTTTCATTTGTTGGACTGCCCTTGCATTCTGGAAATAAATCCCACTTGGTTGTTGTGTATCCTTTAAAAAATACTGTTGAATTTGATTTACTAATATTTTGTTGAGAATTTTTACATTAGCATTCATAAGAGATAATTGATCTGTACTTTTCTTATGATGTCTTTTTCTGGCTTTGGTATTAGGCAGTGCTGAGTTCTTAATTTTTTGGAAGAATGTGAGAAGGATTGGTGTTGCCATTTATTTTTCTTTTTACTTTTTTGGTGGGATGGGATTTGAACTCATGACTTCCCACTTGCTAGACAGGCGCTCTGTGACTTGAGATACTCTGTCAACCCTTTTTTGTGTTGAGTATTTTCCAGATAGGATCTCATGAATTATTTGCCTGGGCTGGCTTTAAACTACAATCCTCCTGATATTGCCTCCCAAGTAGGTAGAACTACAAGGGTGAGCCACTGGCGCCCGGTTTCCGTTCATTTCTTAATCTCTTGTAAGCAGTCTACCACCAAGTCCCATTCTAAAATTTATTTTTCTTATGACCCATCCAAGTCCAAATCATCATGATCTGTCATCTAAACCACTTAGCTACCTCTTGGAGACCTCACAACCATTCTTGCTCCAGTTTATTTCCTTCACTGTACCCCAATATGATTTCAAAAAATTGCTCATCTGTTTATGTCACTCTCTTGTTTTATATTATTTCACTTTTAGTGACATAGATTACTGGTCATATCTCTGCAAGACTCCACATATGATCTGTCCCTTCCTGTCTTTTCAACTTTGTTTCATCCTCACTTACCATATTCCTGAGTGTAGTGGCTTTCTTTTAGTTGCCATAGAAGCCAAGTTTTCCCATCTCTGGACCAAATTTTGTTATTTCTTTTGTGTGTCTGCTCTGTAGGTTAGGGTTGACAAACTGTTTGTAAGAATCAGGCAGTAAATGTCTACACTTTGAGGCCTTAAGTTTTTGTCATAAATACTTAAATCTGTCACTGTAAAATGTACAGAGCTGTGGACAGTGTAGTAGCTTGTTGATCTCCTTGCTCTGAATGATAAGAACTCAAACCAGTCATGGTCTTGCACAGTATGCAGTTCAGCACTCAGGACGCTGAGGTGGGAGGATCATTTAAGTCCAGGAGTTTGAGACCAGCCTGGGTAACATTAGTATGAGAACCCCCCCATCTCAAGGAAAAAAGAAAAACCAAAGATAAAAAACTCCTTGAAACCAAGTATGTTGTTTGTTTTCTTAATGTTTTTCTGGTGCTACACACATAAGTATTAGTACATATTAACTAATAAACATTTATTGAACAAATCCATAAAAAATTTACAAGTTGCTCGATCTTTTTAGAAAACTTTTTTCTTTTTGGAGACAGATCTTGCTATGTAGCCCAGGTTGGCCTGCAACTCATGAATCTCCTGCCTCCACGTCTCAAGTGTTGGGATTATACATGAGCTCCACCACTCCTTACTTGTACTATTTATAAACTAAAATTTTAATTTTGAATGAAATAATCAAAGATGTAGATAAATAATGAGTCCTGATAAGTTGATTAACCCAGTTTAACATTTGTCAAATACTTGGCTTCACTTGATTGGAGTGTTCTTTCTTTGTGGTTTTTGAAGTCCAAATGCGTGTCTCTCTTGTTGTTTTTTTGTTTTTGCTTATTTGTTTTAGCCAGGCCTCAGTATGTTGCCCCGCTAGCCTTGAACTCACTGTATGTAGCCCACGCTGGCTTCAAATTTTCAGTCCTCTTGCCTCAGCTAGAATTACAGGCTTGCACCACCATGTCAGGCCAGCAAGTTCATCTCTTAGATACTTTCTTATTTAGTTACAATTCAGTTATCACAGTCATTTCTTAGTACTTAGTCCAGCTCACATTTCCGTGATTTGCTAAACTGATACACTCTTACAGTTGTTTCAGGGGCATCAGGCACATGCATTACATTTAGTTACATCTTGTCTTTTAAGTCTCTCTCAGATTAGGAGCCTAATCCCTTGTTTTATATAGTGTTTCATATATTTCTGTTTATTTCCTTAGAATGTTAAAGAGGAAAACAAACCATTTTTGCTTCTGTGCACATAGAACACTTCTTATCAATTATGTGTTGTTATTTTTCCCACATTGTCTAGTTTCCTATTCTGGCATTACCTGCCCATTTGGGACAGACCTCACTGGTTAAGAACTCATTACTGTAAGATTGCCCAGTTCAGATGCCCATCCCTAGTCAGGCCTCCTTAGAATCCCCTCCTTAGATATGATGCTTTCCTAGAATGGCTTACAGAATTCAGGAAAACATGTAACTTACATTTATTCATTTACTGTAAAGAATACAACTCAGGAATAGTCAAACAGATGTATAGGGCAAGATAAGGAGGAGAGACATGAATGGAGCTTCCATGTCCTCCATGTGAACCATCCTCCTTTCCCTTGGGGTTTCACCAGCCCAGAAGCTCTCTGAGCACCTTCCTTTAGGGTTTTTATGGAAGCTGCATTATGGTAGGCATGGTAGATTAATTCACTTCCCATTGGTTATTAAATTCAATATTCAATACATTTTCTCTCCACCTATACCAGGCGGGGTGTTGTAGGTGAAATTTCAATTCTAATCACATGGTACATTACCATGGAACTAGCCCTCTACCATTAGATACTTTCCAAAAGTCACGTTATTAACAAACTCAGGTGTGAGTCCAAGGGGCTTATTATGAACAACAGAAGACACTTCTGTCACAGTCAACACTCAGAAATCCAAGAGTTTTAGGAGCTCTGTAATAAGAATTAGAGGAAGACCAAGTATGCACTCTGCCCTCTGTGTATCCCTGGTTCCACATCTGCTGATTCAACTAAGTTAGGATTGAAAAGATTTGAGGAAGAAAAAAAGTTGCATCTATACTGAACATGTACAGCCTTTTTTTTTTTTCTTGTCGTTATTCCTTAAACAATACAATGTAACAAGGATTTACATAGTATTTACACTGCATTCAGTATTACAACTAAGATGATTTAAAGGATATAAGCGGTTAAGTTATATTCAAATACTGTGTCATTCTATGTAAGGGACCTGAGTATTTACAAAATGTTAACCTGCAGGCTTTGGCTGAGGTTCTGGAGCCAAGCCCCACCAGATACTAAGGGATGACTGTATTTGTTTCTTATTATATTACAGTATCACAGATGCCATTTTTCTTATTCCATTATTTGTGATACTTCCTGCAAAGTGAAAGTTAGCTCTAAACACTTGATTAGATTTAGGTTCCTTCCCCACTTCCAAGAATGAATCAATATTTTACAGGTAATCTGTGTTTATTTTTTTGGTGGAGCCAGGGTTTGAACTCAGCCCTCTACCTCTTGAGCCACTCCTCTGTTCCATTTTGCTACTTGGCAGACTGAGATTAGGAGGATCGATGTTTGTGAGAACCCCATCTCCAAAATAAGGATGAACTGGTAGGGTGTCTCAACTGGTAGAGCGCCTGCTTTGCAAACCCAAAATCCTGAGTTCAAACCCCAGTCCTATCAAAAAAAAAAATAGGAGCAAAATGTACAACAAATAAAGATACCTGCATTTGATGCCAGTGTGACATCTCTTGCTTATATTTTGTGTTCATTTTCTCAAAGCAGTATTTTTTCTATTTTACTAAGCTTCAAGTGGAAATAAAGAAATCATTTCACATATAAGTCAGCATGGAGGAAAATGGCCTTACTGGTTCAAAAAAATGGGTGAGTTGTTATTCTCAATATTACAAAAATACATTGGGGCCTGGGGATATAGTTTAGTGGTAGAGCACCTGCTTTGCTTGTGTGAGCCCTTGGGTTTGATCCTCAGCTATATACTACTACTAATAATATAATGCTTAGCATGGTGGGTCATACCTGTAGTTCCAGCAACTCATCAGAGGAAGGATCACTTCAATGCACTTGTCGAGACCAGGGAGACCCCCCACATCTCACTAAAATATTATGCATAAATCAGGATTATATTGACATGACTTTTAATTTCTTCTTAATTTATCCAGAAAATATTCAAAAGTTGGGGAATTACACATTGAAATTACAAGTTGTATTGAATGAAAGTAATGCAGACACTTATGCAGGAAGACCACTACCATCTAAAGCAATTAAATTTTCTGTTAAAGGTAAGCACAACACTAATATATGATTATGTATGCTAAAGGGGGCATTTGTTTTTAATTATTTTATTTTTTAATTATCATACAGTACAATATTTCATTGTGATAGTTCAATACATGTATACAGTGTACCTTGATCAATATTACCCTAAAGGTGGCATTTCTTTTTTTTATACTGTGCCTCCCACACTAAGTCTTCATAAAGGTGGCATTTTAAATCAGGGGGGAGAAGGTTGATAAATCCAGTTAAAGATGTTTACTTGATTTTTAAATGGTTTTTACTTGTACTTGATAATCTTGTTCCTTCTTAATTTTGATGATGTCATTCTTTTTCTACTTTCCATTGTTGCTGATAAAGTCTAAAACTATTCTGATTACTGATCCTTTGCATGACCTCAGGTATGTGGGGAACTTTCCTCCCCAGTTTCTGAAATTTTAAATTACATGACTAGATGCATCTGTTTCCAGATGCTGTGTACCTCATCATACCCTTTTGGTCTGGAAGCTTCTGTTTTATTTTCTAGCAATTCATTTATTTTAATTTTTGGTGATACTGGGGTTTGGACGCAGAGCTTTGCACTTGCAGAGCCAGTGCTCTTATTACTTGAGTCACACCTCCAGTCCATTTTGCTCTGGTTATTTTTTGGAGATGAGTCTCCAGAACTGTTTGCCCATGCTGGCCTCATACCTTGATCCTCCTGATCTCAGGTGTAAGTCATTGGTGCCTGCCTGTTTTCTAGTAATTCTTCTCGAATTAGTTGATTTTTTACACTCTTCTCTTCTTCTAACTCCTTCTAAAGTATATTATATTAAGTTGTTGGATGGGGGCAGGGGGAGAAATGAACCAAGCCTTGTATGCACATATGAATAATAAAAGAAAAATGAAAAAAAAAAAAAGTTGTTGGAGCTCCTGACTAGTGTACTAGTTTCTTTTTTCCATATTCCATTTCTTGATTTTAATTTTCTACTTTTTATGTGTGATTATCTTAACATTCTATCTATACATTCTATTATATTTTTGCTTTCTGTTTACATTTTGTAGTTTCTAAAATTCCTTTTATTATCTGCTTATTCTCTTCTTGAAGCATTTGGTTCCTATTCCATGGATTCAGTATCCTATGGGGACATTAATAGTAGGGGTTTTTCTTGACTTTTTCACTTAACCGTAGTCTGTTCTTCCATGTTGCTTTTTTCTGTTTCCTCTTGAGTGTTTGATATTAGATCCTCTCATACATGACTAGTCATTTGCTTACATTTAAAAAGAGCAAACTTGGAAACATGTATTTCTTTGGGAAATTACATTATGAGAATTTTTTAGGTCTTTTCTCTTTTTGACAGTTCAGATTCCCAAGAGTGGAGACTTCACGCTTCTCTTAGGAAGGTAGCAGCCTGGCTGCCAGCGTTTTGGGAGCCAAGCTGCAGAAGACTGTTGGGGGAAGGGGAGAGGTCTGATTTTCATATATGATCTTTCAGTTGATTTTACAGTTATTTCTTTTTGTATGTATTAGTCTACCTTGCTCTTTTCACATTGAAACATATTTGATGGTACAAGATTGCTGCAGTTTAATCAATTTCCTATTGAATTATTTATTGTTTCCCGTTTTTTTGTTATGAAAATAAGGATGCCTTGTGTACATATGCTAGAATTTCTCTAGGGTGAATACCAAGAATTCCCAAAAGACTACTATGTTACCCTCACCAACAGACTAAGAGAATTCATTTCCCACATGCTTCTTAATTGGCAGCTAAATGATTTCTCTAATTCCTAGGTTGTGCACCTTTTCTAGCCTTTATTGGATATTGTATGTCACTTGAACTCATGGTTATTTATAGTGCCCATTTTAATAGTTTAAAAGCTGTGGTTTTTAATTTTAAGTTTGTGTCCACCTGGAGGTCTTATTAAAGCACAGCCTGCTGGGTCTTACCTCTAGAGTTTCTGATACAGCATCTTTAAGGGTGTTCCCTAATATTTGCGTTTCTTTTCTTTTTTTAGCAAAGAAGATTACATTTATTTGGGGCTAGTTTGGATTGAAATCCAGGAATACAGTCTCAAGCAGTCTTAAAAATGTGCTCCATAAAATACATTAAGTTTCCAGGGGATAACCAAAACTACTAGACTGGAGAGTATACTTTGAGAATACCTGCTTTAGGGCTGGGGTGTAGTTCAGTGGTAAAGTATGAGTTTAGTGTATGTTAAGGCCCTGGGTTCAATCCCTAGCACTGAAAGAGAATGAGGTTGAGAGAGAAAGAAAGAAAGAGAGGGATTGAGAGAAAGAGAAAGAAGCTGGTATATGGGACATTTTAATTGTATTCTAACTTTTATTTCTGCATTGCATTTGTTGCATATGCAACAAAATTCATCAAATCCTTTTATAGTTACTGAGTATTATGTTTTGCTTAGAAGCTCTCCTACAAGGTTGTAAACATTCTTCATTATATTCTAATAATTTCATGGTTTAGAAACACATTTTTTTCTACTTTTTGAGTTTTACTTTTACCTGTGGTGCAAGGTGTGAAGTTCTAACTTGTATTTTCCCATGTAGATTGTTGGTACTATTTAAATGTTTGCCATCTTTATCATAGTGTAACTTCCCATGTATGATTGGGTCTGTTTCTGACCCTCAATGAATTTTCTGTCCACAGAATTTGTTTTTCATTTTATTTTTGTCTTTGTTAAAGAGGGCAAACCAGAGAAATTCTCTTTTGGTCTTCTGGATCTTCCTTTACGTGTTGGAGTTCCATTTAATATCCCTTTGGAGTTTCAGGATGAATTTGGTCATACTACTCAACTAGTAACTGATATTCAGCCAGTTCTTGAAGCAAGGTAATGTGAAATATCAGTTTGTATTTGTTTTTTTCATATTTACTAAGCATTTACTCTTCTTTATTAAGCTTATTTATGCAAGGTGAAATTCACTATTGTCATTTAAAATGCTTAAGTGAATTCTATGCTATCTGGAGCTTTATTTGGCTCCAGGCTACCTTCTGTGACTACAATGTCACATATAAATTACTTTAGTAGTTTAGCAGTTCTGTTGCTACTGTTTACTTAGGAGTTTTAGCCTTTTAAAGTTAGTGTTACTGCAATTTATCTTGGTATTCTAAAAACCATAAAAAATGAAGTTAGTTTTTTCCATGGATATTTGAGTCCTTTCTTTCTTAAAATTTTCTTTTACTTAATAGCTTCTTTAGAATATGATTAGTCTACATTAAGAAAAAGTGCTGTAGCTACTTAGAAGGCAGAGATCAGGAAGATCGTAGTTCAAAGCCAGTGTTGGGCAAATAGTTTGTGAGACCCTGTCTTGAAAATACCCAACACAAAAAAGGGCCGGCACAATGATAGAGCCCCTTGCCTAGTAAGTGTGAGGTCCTGAATTCAAAACCCAGTGCCACCCAAAAGAAAAGAAAGGGAACACTCTGGCCAGGCGTCAGTGGCTCACATATGTAATCTTATCTACTTGGGAGGCTAAATTGGGAGGATCACAGTTCAAGGCCAGCCCAAACAGTTTGCAAAACTCCATCTCCAAAAACTAACCAGAGCAAAATGGTCTGGAGGTGTGACTCAAGCAGTAGAGCACTTGCTTTGCAAATGTGAAGCCCTGAGTTCAAACCTAAGATCCACCAAAGAATAAAAGAAAAAGCTCTGAGAAACTTCACCACCATGTCTTTTTGAGATGGTTAAGAAATGCCTCATAAGTCTTAAGAGGGTGAGTTGTAGTTCTTCTTAACAATTGTTTTATAAATGCTAAGTCCTTTTTTTTTTTAATTGACTGCCAAATTTGTGGTTTTGTGCCTGTGTTTTCTTTTGTTCGTTTGCAGTACTGTGGATTGAACCTGTAACTTTCTGTATGCTAGGCAAATGCTCTATCACTGAGCTACATCTCTGGCCCTATGCTCATTAGTTTCTCTGTATTTTTTTCTCTTTGTAGTAGAATCATGTTACTATTTTCATCATTTGAACATGTATTTTAGGCACCTGGTAGCTGGAGCTATAAAAGTGAATAAGGACATTTGTCCGCTAGAAGCTCACAGCCTAGTGAGACAGATAGTGCTGTTTCAAGAATATGCCATAGTTAAGTTCCTGAAAAGTAAAACATAGTTATAAAAAATATTTTTTAAAAATGCTCATAATTTTATGTTCCTTTAAGTTCCAAAGCATTTCTTGTTTTAGTTTGTTGTGGTACTGGGGTTTGAACTCAAAGCCTTGCACTTCCCACACAGACACTGCCACTTGAGCCATGCCCCCAGCCCTTTCTGCTTTTAGTTCATTTTTCAGATTGGATCTCATATTTTTACCCAGGCTAGTCTTAGCCTATAATTCTCCTGCCTTCCCCTAAGTAGCTGGTATTACAGGTATCCACCACCATGCCCAGCTCTTCCTGTCTATTTGACATATTGAAGTTTTTAAATATTAAACAGAAGAGCTGAATACTGAAACATATTTATTTATTTAAATAATAAAACATTGGAAGTATCTAGTATAGTCACAAATGGATATTATTAGTGCTTCAGTCTTTGCCTATTATCTGTTATAGCTTACATCTTATCTTGGTAGGATATTCTTACATGTGAAGTCTGATACATGCATACATAATTATATTTTAAGATTTGGGACGTTAAAAAAATCTTGGTGCCACAGTGATGAGAATTTATCTTCAGTAAAGTAAGAGCATTGAATGGGTGGCGTTCTTTCCCTCTTTCCATTTTCAGTGTTACCTATCTGGCTATCTGTTGTCTTATCTGTTTATTGATTTATTTGGCTGTACTGGGGTTTGAACTCAGGGCCTTGTGTTTGCTAGGCAAGTGTTCTGCCATCTGAGCAATGCTCCCCAGCCTATGTATATTGCTTAAGAAATCAAAGATTGGTAAGGATTTTTATAAAACAGAGGGTTCCCTCTTCTCCCCATTCTATCCATGATCTGTTTCTAAGAATGTTTTTCAATTCTCGATTCTTTTGGCAATTACTGCTATATTTCTATATTGCTACTCGACTCTTCAGTTGTTGATAGTATCTCTTTACTTACATCTGTGGAAGATGAGGGCACACTCATTTTTTTACCAACTCCAGTAAGTGACTTTCGCTTTGCATGGTGGCAAATGTCTATAATCCCAGCACTTGTGAGGCTGAGGTAAGAAAATTAAAAACTGGAAGCTAACCTGGGCTGTGTATTGAGACTCTATCTCAAAATACAAACAAAAGTATTTTTTGCACTCCTCCATTCTTTAGCAAATTTATATTGTAGTTTGATCAGAATTTAGTATTTGTTATAATGATATAAATTCTAATCACTTTTTTTTGCAACTTCATTACTGTACTTGTTTCTTTGCTAAGCTTATTACAAATTAAACCCAAAACTCCCTGCCAATTATCTACTCTTCTTAAGATATTTTCATGCATCGGTAAGCTTATCAGTTTCACGTCCTTGGACATAATCTCTTTTTGAGTTTGTGATGAGCTCCAGCCTGGAGTGTTTGTCCCTGTGTTTTACAATTATTCTGTAATCTTTCTCCACCTTCATCTATAGGAGTTACCTTGTCTTTCTTCTGTGTTGGGTTTTGGGGAAAAAGAATTAGACACAAGACCTGTTTCCAACCCAGGAAACCTCTGCATAAAGTTTAAAAGAGAAATAAAATAGTCTTATTGTTGAATAAACATTAAACCAGCATGATCACATATAAGCTGTTTAATATAAGCTATTTAAAGAGATGTGTAAAGATTAAAGGAATCTTACTGTTTTATGTAGCTAAGTAGATACAACCCATTACATTCAGGTTTTTGAGACAACATTGTTAGCAGATTATTGACACCCAGCACTTTTCTGAGTCTCAAACAAAACATGAGGTGTATGGCTATAGGAAAGTGGGTAGTAAAGAAAGGCATAGGAGTACAACAGTAAGCAGAGACCAAGTGAAATCAGAAACACTGAGCTTTAGATTTATAAAAGAAACAAAGGACCCTAACATTGAGTACTAGACAACATGGTAGGTAGGGAAAGGGGAAAATCTCCTTCAGTGGGGTTTTAAGCAGAAGAGCAAAGGAAAGCCTCTGTGAGCTACACAGGTACATAGTCTGGCACTCTACAAATCTGTAATCCATGCAGCAAGCTGATGCTGGAGAAGGGCCTTCTTCACTTCTGGCTTGCTTATTGGTGTCTTATGGTCAAACCTTTTGGGCAGGGGGATCAGAAGCCCTGCATTTTTTTTTATCTCCAGGGCACTGACTAAACCTCTTCTCTCCACTGACTAAACTAGCCACCAATCTGAGAATCAGTGTGGACCCAGGAAACTGGATATAGACTTGGGGACATAGGTCTACATGGTGGAAAGTGTGTTGTAGAGGAAAGCAGAGGATGATTTATGTGAGAACTGCAGCCCAACCTCTGGGAGAGAGACCAGCTATATGTGAATATGAGCTGAAGATAAGGCTGAGACAGAGACCAACCTGGATTGGGCATGCAGAATCACTCAGTGCCACCCTCTCCCTTCTAGCACAGATTGCTTTGGTCTGACTGTTTGCTACACACTTAAGAGCCACAGAGATATTTGGTGAAAATTCATGTACTGCTGTGGCATTTCCCACATCCACGAGAACACCTCTTGTGCAAGAGAGCATTGAACTAGGCAATTCATGTTCTCACCTGGTGAGAACAGTTTGAGGGTGGCTCCTACACTTGCAGTGCTGCCAGGACTGCATATGGAGAGTATTGATAGAATTCAGCCTAGCGCACTGGTTTTTGTATCTTGTGTACCCTGATGGGAAAACAGGGTAGGGCTCAGCCTCCAAAGAGTGCTTTTAATCTGATCTGTTTGGATCTCAGAGAATAAATTCACTCTCCCCACCCACACATGCATATACACAAGCCAAGTAAATTGCAAAAGGAAAAGCTCAGAATAAGAGGAAACCATGCCCATTCTACATCTCAGCAAGAAAGAAATATTGATTGGTCATTTTATTTTGTTTTCTCTCACTCTTCTCATCCCATGTACTTCTCTTCACTATCTTGCTACTGCTTTTTTCCCTTTTTTTTCCTTGTCCCTCCTTTTTTAAAAAAAATATTTAATTGTTAGTATTTTTTTTTAATTTTTTTTTTTGTTTGGGGATATTTAAGTATGTCATAGAAAGGAACACAATGTCTACCTTTTTTTTTTCTTTTCTTTTAGTGCAGCTGGGGTTTGAACTCACAGTTTTGAGCTTGCAAAGCAACCACTCTACTGTTTTAGCCACACCTCTGGTTCAGAACTTTGTGTGTGTGTGTGTGTGTGGTACTGGGGCTTGAACTCAGGGCCTCATACATGCTAGCAGGCACTCTGCCAGTTGACCCTCCACTAGCCCTTCATCTTATTTTTATTCTCATTGTTTTTGTTTTGCTTTTTGAGACAAGATCATACTATGTATGTAGCTCAGGCTGGCCTCAAATTCATGGTCCTCTTACCTCAGCCCCAGAAGTGCTGGAATTACAGGCATGTACCACTATGCCTGACTGCCTTTAACAGTTTTAAAATTCCTTGTCCTAGAAGTATCTTAGCTCTTTTCTATTCTTACTGGGGGTATAGTTGTTTCTAAGATTTTTGTCATTTTGATTTGGTTTTGGAAACAAGGTCTCACTTGATAGTTTCAGGCTGTCCTTGATTTCTGTCTCTCAGGTGTTAGGATTATAGGCATGTACCACCATTCCTGGGTTCTAGTTGCTTTTCTTTTTTGGTATTATTTTTGTTACTGCAGTTCATTTCCTCTCCTACCTCCAAGTGGTAGTGAGGCTTGAGCCCTCAAAAGAAAGCTGCTCACTAATATTTCCCCATATAAAACGGGAAGAGATGACAAGTGCATAAAACACAATGAAGAAAGAAGAAATAACAAAAAGCAGGGCAATATGACCCCTCCAAAATTTCATAACTCCTTTAATAAATAAATCTAAGGATGTCAAAATGCCACATAAAGAATCCAAAAGTGTAGTTATAAAAATAGTCAATGATTTCTTAAGAGGAGAAAACTGAATAGATGAGTGAAAAAGTCCCTTCAACACTGATGAGAAATTCACCAAGGAGAGATTCTGAAGGAAAAAAAAACACCAACTGGAAATCTTCAAAATGAAAAGTTCAGTAAATCACATTTAAAAATGCAAGGGAAAGTATAACCCAGACACTAGTTGAAGCAGAAGAAAGAATATCAGTGATTGAAGACAGGATTAAGGAGTATTGCATTCAGATAGCAATAGAGGGGGGAGAAAAGCATTTGTGATCACAATTTTCTGGAACTCTGGGACATGATTAAGAGGCCAAACCTACAAACCTTTGATGTAGATGAAAGAGCTGAGATAAAATTAAAGGCATAGAAAACCTATTTGATGAAATTATAGCAGAAAATTTACCAAAACTAGAGGAGGGAATGGACATCCAAGTACAAGAGGTATTTGGAATTCCAAATAGACATGATTAGAAAAGTTAAAATGTAGTGCAGAATAAGAATGAACACTGAAAGCTGCAAGAGAAGTTCTGGGCTGGAGGTGTGGCTTAAGTTGTAGCGTGCCTGCCTTGAAAGTGTGAAGCCCTGAGTTCAAACCCTAGTACCACAAAAAAAAAAAAAAAAAAATAGAGTGAGAGAGAAAAGTGCCAAGTTATTTAAAAAGTGAACATCAGACTCCTCAGCAAGAACCATGAAAGGCAGGAAACCATGGAATGGTATATTGTAAGCCCTTATAGTAAATAACTGCTAACTAAGATTGCTTTATTTCCTTAAAATTGAGATACAGACTACATAATGAAATCCACCAAGCACTGTTTGAAAGAGAGGGGAAGAAGAGAGAAAAAATGAATATATAATGGAAGGGGTGAACTTGTTCAAGGTACACTGTATGCATGTATGGAATTTCACAGTGAAATCTTCCATTTCCAGGAAGGAAATGACAAAACACATATCGAGAGGGCCAGAAAGCTGATGACCAACTGGCAAAATTTTATTTTTCTCAGCAAGCTTTATACAAAAGAGGAAGAGACGTAAACATCAAAAACACTCCAGCCTAGTTACAACCTTTCTGTTTTGGCCACCCTGCATTCTTACTGCCAGTGTCTTTGATTAAGTATAACTTCTTTTCAGTCAAGGGAAACCACTTAATGTTCCTTTCTACCATGATAGAGACATGGTGCACCTGCAGATTCCAACCTTGTCAAAATGCTGCTAAGCCACAGTGACCTTATCAGACTGTGGCTTTTGGTTCCCAACAGATATCCCCTTATATTATTAATATATGATAATTCAAAAATCTAAATATTGAAAGAGAAATCAAGATCTTCCAAGATAAGTACAAACTAAAACAATATAACAAAAGGCAGCATTGCAGAAGGTATTTGAAGAAATCCTGCACATAGATGAGAAAGAAAGGTTGTGACAATCACCAGAGCTTGGGAAAAAATGAATTTTGTGAGAATAGATGAAAGATGAATAAGTGAGAATTAGGAAAGATATCCATGTTCAGCTCATTGCACCAGCAAGTTCCTAAAATGAGTAAGGGAGAAAAGAAAAAGGCAAAGAGTACTCAAACCAGAAAAAAAAAAAAAAAAAAAAGACTACAGGAATCAGCACATACGACTCTCAATTACCCTAAATAAAATGGTCTTTACTCTCCAATTAAAATACCCAGACTGGATGACTGGATTAAAACAAGATCCAACTGTGTTGTCTGCATGAAACATACCTCACTGGAAACAGCACATACAGACTGAAAGTGAAAGGATGGAAAATAATACACCAAGCAAATGCAGTCTGGAAGCAAGCAGTAGTAGGTAGATGCATATCCGACAAAGCAGACATCAAGCCAAAATTAGAAGAAATAAAGGTCACCGTATACTAATAAGGGGAATAATTTGTCAAGAAGACATAACAGTTATATTAGTTTATGCACCAAATGTTGACACATCCAATTTCACAAAAGATAAACACTAGTGGGTTGTGGATGTAGCTTAGTGGTAGAGTGGTAGAGTGTTTGTGTAACATGCCTGAGGCCTTGTGTTTGATCTCCAACAATGATCCAAATTCAGTAATAGTGACAGTTCAATACCTGACTAATCAAAGACATATCATCTAGACAAAAACTTAAGTTCAGAGTTAAACTACAGCATAGATCATATGGACTTAACAAGACATCTACAGAACATTCTATTCAACATTTGTAGATAGAATCAAGGATAAAAATAGCGTGATCGTTTCTATAAATTCAGAGGAAGCCTTTTATAAAATTTAGTGTCTTTTCATGATAAAAGTGAAGAAACTAGAAATAGAAGGATCATATCTTGGGTTAAAGGTGTGGCTTAAGTGGTGGAGTACCTGCCTAGCTACCGCAAGGTCCTGAGTTCAAACTCCAATACTGGGGCCGAGGGAGGGGGAAGATCAGCATAAATTTTGGATTATTTAGACGTTTTCTAAAATTGCATTTCAGTTTAAGGTGCCAGAATTTTTCTAAAATTCCACCAGGTGAAAAAATTCAAACAAATTCATAGTAAAGGCTTGAGGATATCCTTACACGTAGCCTATTTGAGCATTTCATTTTCTTAGGCCTGTGTACATGGTCTAGTAATGGGTTATTTCTTTATCTTTCTCTTTTTTTACTGTATGAGGTTTGAATTCAGGGTTTTGTGCTTGCTAGGTAGGTGCTCCACCATTTGAGCCATCCCCCCAGACCTTTTGCTTTAGTTATTTTTGTTGTTGTTCTTGAATAGAGTATTGAAGTTTTGTCTGCCCAGCCTGGGCCATAATCCTCCTATGTATACCTCCCACATAGCTGGAAAGACAGATACACACCACCATGCCTCAGCTTTTACTGGTTGAGACACATTTTTTGCGCAGCCTGACCTCCAGTTGTGTCTTTCTGATTTTTGCCTCCCAAGTAGCTAAGATTAGAGGCATGAGCCATCACACCTGTCTACCATTGAATTATTTCTTACTCTTTCTAGTGGTGACGGTCTGGGGTGGTCTCACAGATAGGGAGATCAGCTGGAGACTTCTACCCCATTGTTTCTAGGTTCTTTGCCAGGAAAAAGAATTCAGAGATGAAACAAAGTTAAGGATTGGAAGGAAATTTTACCTCAGAGGGAAACTGTCTGCCAAAAGTTTTGGACAGCACAATTTTATGGTCAGGCTTAATAAAAGGGAGGATTAGTCATGAGCAGGGATTTCCAGAATAGAATTTGCTCCCCTTTTCTGTCTTTGCATGTGGCTTTTGATGTGTCATGACATCAGATGCATGATGGGAACAGCCAATTATGCAAGGCTAGTGATGTGAATGTCAGTAATGAAGCAAAGGGCAATTAGCAGTGGTTCTTCTTCAGCCATGTTGGTCCCAGCTGGTTCTGCACATGTTCTTAGTTTTCACTGTTTGATCAGGTACATGATGTCTTTCTTTGAGCAGTTCTGCTCTTATATCAGCCTTTAATCCACCATCAGTTGTCTTTCATTCTAGCCTGCTTCATTACCTTGTATCTTGTCAGTATTCAGTTTTTAATTTTAAAATAATCTATTGCATCATTCTCAGTGTTTAGTCTTATGATATCACTTATCAATAATTGTATCAATTTTCTCTTTAAAAGAAATTTGTGTGGCTAACATATGGTTGGTGCATGTTTGTAATTGCAGCTCTGGGGATGCTGAGATAGGAGAATTTCAAGTTCAAGGTCAGCCATGTTACATTAAGAAATCCTGTTTTAGAAAACTAAAAAATGAAAAAGAAATTTGTGGGAATTTGCTTCTCTTTATTTCTTATTTTAAAAAAATATTTTATTAGAAAAATAAACTAGATGCTAATGAAACATTTCCAACTTATTTGTAGGTAATGAGAATAAAGTTAAAATTTTTTTTTTCTAGTGGTTTATCTTTACATTATGAAGAAGTAACCAAAGGACCAAATTGTGTAATTCGGGTGTTACAGCAAAGGGCCCTGTTAATTCTTGTCAAGGCAAGGTAAGCGTTGTCTATAAATGTTATAATACTTGTCTCTTACATGATTAAAATGAAATTGGGAATATAACGTTAATGACCTATTTTTGTAAACAACATGACAGACAGTAATATTGAACTGTTAAGAGTTAATCAGCATCATGAGGACTTACTAGTGACATCTGTAGGAAAAACTGCTGTACTTGTTTGAACATTTATGAATTAAATGTTTTTAAATTATCTTAATCTTGATCCACAGCCATTTTTTTCAACAGTATACTCTTTCTTTTTCTTTTCTACTTTTTTTTCATCCATTTGTTTCTTAGAACAAAAAAAACAAGTAGCAACCTGAGAAACCTTAGCTCACATCTTTAAACATTTTGGTTTGGTATTTAGATAAAGAGAAGTGTTTGGTGAGGGATATTGTTAAGGAATGTAAAGATAAAAACTACAATAAGGTAATTTTTCAGTTAAGTCTAGGGGAAAGAGATGCTATGACTAGTACCTTAATTAAATAATAAATTACTCTTATCCTCCACTGTAACATTACCTTCAAGATATATTTCAAAAATTTTCTCTCTCAATACGATGTTTAAAATCGAGAATTTTGTGGGCTGGGTCTGTAGCTTAGTGGTAGAGCACTTGACTACTATGTACATGGCCCTGGGTTAAATCCCCAGCACCACAAAAAATAAAAATTATTAAAAAAAAAAAAAAAAAAGAGTTAAGGCACATGAATTTCTTCAAGTGTTCTAAGATGAGCATCCGTGATGAAACATGACAACACCAAAAATGTTGTATAAAATTTCCTTCAGAATATTATGTATATAGTAAACATAAATGAGTTTTGGGCTTAGATTTGAATCTCCTCTTTCCCATCTCCAAAATGTCTCATTATGTGTGTGCAAATATTGCAAGATCCAAAACACTTGTAGTTGAAAGCATTTTAGCAGTACTGGGGTTTGAACTATGGGCCTCACACTTTCTTGGTAGTTGCTTCCACTTGAGCCATGCCCCCAGCCCTTAGTTGAAAGCATTTTGGAGAAGAGATATTCCATCTGTATATGTACTAATTATAATCAAATCAAGTTAAAGATCAAGTTCTGTACATCTCTCTGAATTAGTATTTTGGAACAAGAACTTGAAATTCATGACAAATTTTACATCAGTAAGGTAAACTCATTAAAATGATTTGTAGATTCTTACAACCTTTACTTGAAATAACATTAGATTTACAGAGGAATTCAAAGATAATATGGAGAATTATATAGACAGTTTCTCTTAATATCTTACCAACCATATATTCTTATCAGAACCAAGAAATTAGCATTGACATAATACTATTAGCAAAACTGCACACTTTATTCAAGTTTTTTCAGTTACTGTTACTTTTCTGTTCAAGTCTAATTCAGACTATAAGACTATAACATTCCATTTAAAAATTTTTAGATTTTTAATTTTTTCTGCTACTTTATTATTTCACATTTTTATCATACCCTTCTTGATTTTGATAATTATTGTGAGGTAGACCTTTTGCATTTGAAGAAGCTATTATCTATAAGGAGGCAGTATTGGTCAGTTTTTTCCTTTTTTGAGTCTTTTGCATACACATGGTAATTTTAGCAAGTAGAAAATTGGTGAGTAGATTTCTATGATAATATGCAAATGGAAAGAAAAAAGATCAGAATTGAAATGATAAAATAGTTAAGTATGTACTTAGAACCTGGGTTTAACTTTTACTATATTTTTCAACAGAATTTTAACCTGAAGGTTATTCTGCCCGGTTTAAAAGAAGATTCTCAAATTTTGAAAATTAGACTACTACCTGGTAATACTATTTTTAAGAAATACTCAGAACACTTTTAAAATAATATTTTTAGCTGGTATGGTGGTACACACCTGTGATCTCAGCACTTGGGGGGCTAAGTCAGAGGGTTTGTTATTTACAGGTGTTTCTTGTAAAATGGAGTTAATAATAGAACCTTTTTCATTTAAATTATTGTGAGGTTTATAATGAGAATAGTAAATAATAAATACTAGTTTAGATTTTAAATAGTCTGACCTAGTAAATATTGAATATTAGTTAAAATTACAAAGTAAATTGTTTCTAGTAACTGTCTTTGTGTGCTTGTGTTACTCATATTTAACATAAGTTAAAAATTTTAAATGTTAGTGTTATGGAGCAAATCAAATCAGCTTATTGCAGGATCATAAACCTTGTGTCTTACAGGAAACTTATTGTGTAACTAGCTTATGACATTATTTAGTCTGGTTATGTTACCATAAGAACTGATCTTTTGAATGCCTGAAAACACACATGTTATTACCTATACTGGAAAATCAGTCATTGTGTGAAGTTAAAGTTGGCAAATGAAAAGTAGTTCAATAAACTTTTTTTTTTTTTGGTGAGACAGGTTGAGCCACAGAGCAATAGCTCCACCCCTTATTTTTCTATAATTTTTCTCCTGAGACCTTTTTCAAGATTTTTACATGTTAAGGTACTTTCTAGCATGAATTATCACTATATCAAGCTAATAACAAAACTAAGCCTAGACATTAGGCATTTTACAATACAATTGAGAGAGCTTTCATCCTATGAAGAATTTATGCCCTTAAGGGATGGCAGTGATTAAACATGGATACTACTTGGTTGTTTCTTCTTTGTCATTGTTTATAAAATATTAAATTTTTGTTTCTTTTGCTATTTCAGTACTTCATTTTTAAAACCTATTGAATATATAATTCATCTTACAATTTCTTGATAGGTCCCCCTCATCGATTAAAAGTCAAACCCGATTCTGAATTTTTAGTTATAGAAAATGGGACAGCTTTCCCATTTCAGGTGGAAGTTCTTGATGAATCAGACAACATAACAGCACAACCAAAATTGATTGTTCATTGTAAGGTAAGCTCATTATGATTAAGAATACTTAGATTTCATTTTGATTCCCATCATAATAAATGGCAGTGACTTATTTTTTAGCTGCTTTGTAGTAAGCCTTATGTAGGATCTACATCTCTAATGATACTGGAGAGATTTGTGGAATCACTTAGGACCGTTAATTTTTCAGTAACCCTAAACCAATAAAGATGCCAGCTTTGGCCAGTTTCATGAACAGAGTTATGGATAAAGTTTTCTCCTGACTTCCTTTCCTTCACCACCTCATTTCAGATGAAGTATTTTATTTATTAATAGAGTGATATAGTGATTCTTACATGTTTGGCAATGCATAGATAATGAAAGTAGGTAAAAGACCACAAAAAAGAAAGGCAACCCAGTAATTAAAGTAAAAAAGAAAAAGAGTGATTTAGGATGTGTGTTTTCATTCTAAAACAGGTAAGTTTTATTTATTGTTATAGAAAATTACTCTCTTTGCTTAGAAATTTTAGAAATTAGAGTTCTGTTTAGAATTTTCCAATTTATAGTCAGTAGCTGGATGAATCATATTTGAAAATTTGGATAATCAATAACATTTTTATTGGGGGTCTTAAATTACTGTATGTCCTTTCTGTAGTTTTTAGGTGGTCCAAACCTTCCAGTCTATGTTGTGGATTGCAGTAGTTCTGGAACCAGTATTTTAACAGGACCTGCAATTCAAGTTCAAAATATTAAAAAAGACCAGACACTCAAAGCAAGAATTGAAATACCTGTAAGTTGTTATTGCTTTTTTGTTGATAGTATATTGAGTCTTAAGACAAATAGTGTTTAACAGATTTATTATAATAATTTTTGCAAAGTGTTTGACTTTAAAAAAAAATGAGGTGTTTGTGTTTTTAGCCACAGGGGAAAAAAGACAATAGGAAGTAGTTTAGTAACTAGTTTAACATTTTGTATCAAATAGCAGTAAATTATTTTTTATTAGAACTCAGTATCTGTTAGTATATATCCTTTAATGTGCATATAATTTTTTTTATTAGTATTTTCATATGAAGGGATTTTTTTTTTTCTCTTTTTTGAGAAAGAGTCTTATTGTGTGTAATCCAGGTTGCCCTCAAACTTAATCCTCCTGCCTCAGCCTCCTGAGTGTTGGGATTATAGAAGTGTGATACCATGCCCACCTCAAAGCTTTTTTTTTTTTTTTTTTTTTAATATCAGTACTGGTGTTTGACTTGGGCCTTGCCAAGTAGCTGGAATTACAGGTGTGTATCAACATGCGCAGCCCTCAAGTGATTTCTTTATGACATGGCAGTAGGGTACTTTTTATTGGATATGCATCATGGCTGAGGGTGAAGCCAACATGGAGGAGGATACTATAAGCAATTGATCTCATAAGACTGCTGAATGGGATAACAAATACTTAAGTAAAATAATTGGATGTGACTTCTTAGCAATTGATATAAGTGATGAATAACCTAGTCAACTGATTAACTTATACTTTTCTGTTAATTATATACCAATTACTAATATATATCTTGAGCATTGAAAGGATAAAAGATGGCTTTTATTTTTTAATTAAAATGGAATGACTATTGGCTTCATTCTAGTTCTTTTCAAGCTGGTTATATTTGGGCTTTTTGTTTGTTTTTTTAATTTCTTGGCCAATACTAGTTCAAAAAATAACTAGTTCAAAAAAAAATACTAATTTTTGAATCCAGGGACTTGGATTTGGTGGGAATTACTCTACTACTTGAGTCATACCTACAGCTCTTTTTGCTTTCATTATTTTTCAAATAGGGTCTCATGCTCCTTGCCCAGGCCAGACTCAAGAGTGCAATCCTCCTACCTCCTCTCAAGTAGCTGGGATTATAGGTATAAGCTACCATGCCTGTAGCATATTTGATAGTCTTAATTTGCTGTGCTGGGGATCAAACCCAAAGCACATGCGAGTCAGATGCTCTACCACTGAACTTTTATCACCTCTCCCTCCATTTTTGGTATAGTTTCAACAGGTCTCATTTTTCCATTTTCATACATAAATATATAATATTTCTACCACATTCACTCTCCTACACCCTTTCCTTATATCTTCCCCTTCCCACTGGTGCCAAACCCCCAGACAGAACCTGTTTTATTGCCCTGTCCTCTGTTTTTGAAAAAACAATAAAAGACATTTTTGTTTGTTTAAGGTATTTATACAGAGCTTCATTATGACATTTCCATGTACGTATGTATTATATCCTGAATCAGTTCATCCCCTCCATTTTTATTTCTGCCTTAGTTTCCTTCTTATGATGATTTCAACAGAGTTAAAAATTCTGTATTAATTCTTGTAGAGAATGTTCATCATCTGTATTCACCTTCTTTATTTTATAGCTAGGCTTATTTTTAAATTTAGTGTTTGCTGTAGAATGCACTGTAGCTGGATTATAAGATACAATATTTTTTAATTTTGTATACCTAAAATCAACTTATACTGATTTGGTGTAATTTAGCTCTTTTTCAGTAATCTGTGAAACCCTAGTGTGGAAATAATTATAAGTTCCCAGTACATCTACATCGATTAGCTTATCCTTCAGGGCATGTACTACTCTTCTTTGGCTTTAAGCAAGTTTGTTCATTTACCCCTCTGCTTTCAATTGAAAAAAATATAGAAAACTTCAGAGTAGCATATTATCATTAAATAATAAATTGTGTGACAGCTGTGGTCTCTGATTTTATGGAAAGTTCTTAATTTCTTACATATTTATATCCTTGTTAATAAATGATGGACACTGGATCTTTGACCTATTGACCTAATTAAAATTTCATAAGTTTGCAATAGTAGTAAATAAACTCAGAAATAAGGGGAGGGAATCCTTTCAGTCTAGATATATTTGTTATTGGTTTGAAGTAACACACCTGTAACGGTGTGTCAGATGACCTTCCATATTGAAACTAAATTCTTCAGCAGTGTAGTTGATTCACCATAAATTTAAAAAGGCATACAATTTTAATACAAATGTCACTTAATGTATATTTTGTTTTCCTCTTTTCATAGAGTTGTAAAGATGTGTTACCTGTGGAAAAAACTATTAAGTTGCTTCCCAGTAGCCACGTTGCACGACTACAAATATTTAGCCTAGAGGGACAGAAGGCAATCCAGATCAAACATCAGGATGAGGTTAATTGGATAGCAGGTGATGTTATGCATAATCTTATTTTTCAAATGTATGATGAAGGAGAAAGAGAAATCAACATAACATCAGCTTTAGCAGAAAAAATTAAGGTATGTTTCTCAAGTTACTTATTTGCAAGAATTTTTATCATTTTGTTTGGGACTTAATGTGCTTTCTGAGTAGCCTATAAGAAGACACTTTTCATAGAAAAATATTATTTAAAATTCTGAGCTACATAAGAATTAACAGACTAGATTGAAATATATATGATTCACATGTGACAAACTTATACTTAGAAAAATGGCTTTGATCCTTAAGAAAAATTTCCAGTTTTGGTCTTTTTTTTTAGTCATACACTTATTGACCAAATATATTGTTGCAATCACTATACTGAGCAGCAAGATGTTTTGTAGCTTTTATTTGGCCATGTGAAATTGGTATACCATTCTAAAAGTCTGTTGCTTAGAAAACAAGTTTTATTGGTCCTCATCGGCCTGCTGGTATCTAAATGTAATATCGACACCTTTGTTAGGATTGAATCTTCATGGTGAAACGTAACATCTCTTTGAACAGGGAATTGAAATAAAACTTTAAGTTCTTATCTAATAAAGTATGTAACATTTCCCTTTTGGTTGATTAAAATGGTAGGCAGAATATGCTTGCTTCTTTCAAAGTCTATTCAGTTCTGCTCTAATGAGACACATGCATTCCTAAAAATCACTATACTGTGCTAAACCTTTACTAAAAAAGTCACAGGACTAATGGGGGGAAATGGAATAGAGATACAGCATTCATACTTCATCAGTAACCAACCCACTAAAAAAGATAGGAACCTAGTAAACAGTTGGAAAAATAAGAACCATAATATATGTACATAATGCTGTTACGGTATGGAAGTTTACTTTCTCATAGTAGTTAAGAAGGGCTGCTGCTTGTGAATTACTATGAAGTGGGAAAAGGAAGACTGTATGGAAATTGAATGGAAAGTTGTAACACTACATGTGTTAAACATTAGTGTGGCTCATAACACTTAGCCAACTGAGGTGACTTGTAGTTGTTGGCAGTATATGTTTTTGTGTTTTCTCTTGTGTTTTGTTTTGGCTAGGGATAGTTTACTTAAACACAAGTGAAGTTAGCTTTATGTTTTGTTTATTCCCTAATATATGAGTTGCATTAGAACAGATTTGTACTTTAAAACTCAGCATTGTAGAAGAACTGACCGAAAAAGTAATTGCATCAGCAGATGACTGTACTTTTTCCTTGATCATAAAAATTCAAATCGTGAGAATGAGAAAAAAAATAATTTAAAAATCCAGATTTCTAGCCAGGTATCAGTTGCTTATGCCTGTAACCTTAGCTACTCAGGAGGCAGAAATCAGGAGAATCATGGTTTGAAGGCAACTTGGGCAAATAGTTCACAAGACCCTATTGTGAAAACAACCAACACAAAAAAAGGGCTGACAGAGTGGTAGAGTGCCTGCCTAGTAAGAGTGAGGCCCTGAGTTCAAACTCCAGTACCACCACACACACAAAAAAATCCAGATTTCTTTAAGATAGTTAGAGATAGCCATGTCTAGAGAGCTGAATTAGTGTTTCCTTATGTTAGGAACTTCCCTATTTATAACTTTTTCTATCATTCTCTAAGCTTGTGGACTTCATTTGAAACATTTTACCTCAGATACTATATAGTGACCATGTTATTTTGGGTACCAAGATGACAGTAAAAAGGTACTGAATACCACTTTTAATTGTATAGTCTGTATAGTGGCTTTATAACTTTAGTGAATTAAGCCAAGATTGAGGGGAGTCAGCCTGAACTGAGCTGGGCCTCCTTTAGTAGCACAACTGGGGTTAGGGAAGAAAGAAAGCCTGTATTTCCAGCTACTCAGGAGGCAAAGATTGGGGACATTGCAGTTTGGGCAAAACAGTGAGACCCTATCTCAACAAATATGGTGGGCATGGGGCAAGGCATGCCTGTAATCTCAGCTGTGCAGTGGACATAGGTAGAAGGATTATGGTCTGAGGCTGGCTAGAGCAAAAAACATTAGACCCTATCTGGAAAAAAAAGAATGCCGGGGGAGGGAGGGTTGACTCAAGTGGTAGAGTGCTTGCCTAGAAAGTACAAGGCCCTTAGTTCAAACTCCAGTACTGCCAACATAAGTAAATAAATAACCCAACTGCAGAAGTAGAGAGGAGAATAGAGTGGGGTAATCAGCATGAAAAAGTATGGATTAAACAACAGGTACAAAATTCAAGGGTTATAAAGTTTAAAGCTACAGCCACCCAAGAAGGGGTCAAGACCCAAAGTGGTCTTTTTTCTCACCTTGTCGAATAAATGTCCACATAGATATCATTCAAAGCTTCTATACATACTTTTCAGAATTTATCACATGATCTTTTTTTTGAGACAGTCTTGCTATGTAGCCCACTTGGGCCTTGAACTTGTGATCCTCCTGCCTCAGCTTCCCAGGTATCTGAGATTATAGGTGTGTGTCACCATGCTCAGATAATCTGTATTTTAAACTAATGACCATAGTCATCACCTGTGGCAAGGCTCTAAAGAAATGCCTTAAGAATGTTTAGTTTACTGCACTGAAATATATGGCAACATTAACAGCAAAGGCAAAGAAGATAGGTTTTTCTCCGTATTATATGAACCACCATCATTTCTGGTCATAAAATGATTTTTCTTTTCCTTGGGGATGAAGAGATGGATTATAATTTAGCTTTAAGAATCTTTAGTCAGATAAATGGCAATTGGAGGGCATTAGGTTAAGCTTTATATTATTCTTAAATATGTAATTTTCTCCTAGGTTAATTGGACTCCTGAGATTAACAAAGAACACTTACTACAGGGTCTGCTTCCTGATGTACAAGTACCAACATCCGTGAAAGATATGCGCTACTGCCAGGTTTCATTCCAAGATGATCATGTGTCTTTGGAAAGTGCATTCACAGTAAGGTTTGTGGGCTTAATAAATTTTGACATATTTTTTAATATTCAACATATGGCAGCAAAAGTACTTTTTCCAATGCATATATGTGAAAGTTGTTTCTGGGTTAGAAAATAACACAATTTCTAAGAAATATGGGAGATTGTCTTTGGAATAAACCTTCACTATAGATAATGTTTAATTATATCATGATTATAACCCTGCACTGAATTGTCCCTTTAGTAACTATAAGAACTAAAACATTCACTGGGTGCTGGTGGCTCACTCCTGTAATCCTAGCTACTTAAGGAGGCTGAGATCAGGAGGATCTTGGTTCAAGGCCAGCCCCAGCAAATAGTTTTCTAGTTTTCAAGACCCTATCTCTAAAAATAACCAGAGCAAAATGGACTGGAGATGTGGCTCATGTAGTAGAGCACCTGCTTTATAAGCTCAAAGCCCTGAGTTCAAATCCCAAGTCCTACCAATAAATAACAAACTTTCATTAAAGGCAAGTCCTCCTACTGAAAGCAACAGTGAAAACATCTGCAAAATGACAAAGCCCTGAAAAATACCAAAGACACAATATTACCAGTAATGTGTTGTTCAAAAGGAAACTTAGTGATGACTTTCAAAGCTGAGTCCCATTAAAATTAACAATGTTTAAGTCCTATAAAAGGGAAAGACTTACATAAATATATAAAAATATCATTTTCTTCCTTGGCCTAACAATTCCTCAGCCACCTTTTTCCAATAACTTCTTGCACCATATTTCCTGTGCCCATTTTCATAGTATTCCCAACAATTAGAAGAGTTCTGCACTTGAGATACCATTTTCACATGCATCACTCTCTGACCATAACCAACCCTCTTTTTTTTTTTTTTTTTTTTTTCCTAAATGAGGGGAGGGTTCCTCTTTTCTTTAAAAAAAATTTTTTTTTAGCAGTACTGGGGCTTGAACTCAGGGCTTCATGCTTGCTAAGCAGGCACTGTACCACTTGAGCCATTCCATCAGCCGTGTGTGTGTGTGTGTGTGTGTGTGTGTGTGTGTGTGTGTGTGTGTTTGTCTGTCTTTCTCTCTGTCGGTCGGTCGGTCGGGTATTTCTGAGATAGTATCTGGAACTATTTGTCTGGGCTGGCAATCCTCCTTATCTCTGCCTCCAGAGTAACTAGAGCTACAGATGTGAGCCACTAGCGCCTGGCATAACCAACCCACTTGATGAGTTATTTTTATCTTTGTTTTTTTAGTATGCATTTGTCATAATTTCCTTTTAACATAGTGTAAATATTATGATTTAACATGTGTCTTTGGTTAATAGCTATCTTGCATAAAGTGAAGAGGTATTTGAGGGATGCTGTTGTATTTAAGCTTAGAATGTTACATATATTTTCTCTTTCGTATATGCAAACCAGTTTAAATTTTTTTCTGTAATTACTAGAATAACTAAAACTTTTTAACTTGTTAACCAAATTCAGACCACTTCCTGATGAACCCAAACATTTAAAATGTCAATTAAAAGGAGGAAAAACAGTGCAGATGGGCCAGGAACTTCAAGGAGAAGTAGGTTAGTATGAGCCACTTTTTTTTTTTTAATGATGTTTGGTAACATTAATGTTTTAATGTACATAATCTGAAAGGCAAGCTTTGGCGTATGATACCTTCAAAACATTTTTAAAATCCTACTTCTTCTTAGAAGAAACATTAAAAGTATAAATTTTTTCTTATGTCTAAAAAATTATATAAAAATCTTTAGCTTTTCTTGGTAAAAATATGATTTAATGGAATGGAAGTATAGCATACTGGTAGTATAATACTTGCCTAGTATGCTTGAGGTCCTGGGTTTCATCCCCAGCATTCCTCACCCCAAAAATTATAATCTAATTAATTTTAGCATTACAGACTGGGGGTATGATTCAAGTGGTAGAGCACTTGAGCCAAGTTCAATTCCCCAGTACCTTTCCTGTCCACAAAAAATTTATATATATGAGCATTATGTCAAATATATAATTTAAATGTACTTGTGTAGATTCTTGATTTATTATTTTAATGATCATAAAATAAATATAACCATTTATACCAAAAATTACTTACGTAAGAGAGCAGAGTTAATGTATGTTTTTAAGTTTGTTACAGATACTTATCCTTTATTAAAAAACATTAAAATGATTTTTCTCTTTTTAGTTATAATCATTACAGATCAGTATGGAAATCAGATTCCAGCATTTTCACCAGGTTCTTTATCTGCTTTGTCAATTGCTGGGGTTGGACTAGATAACTCAAATTTGAAAACTACTTTGCAGGTATGATTACTTTCTATAATAATTTGGTTCATACCCTTGTTTTGTGTTAGAAAAAAGTTCAGAGTAAATGAAAATAACTAAAACAAACTTCCTTTATGTTAAACTGAAAAGTCACATAAAAAACATTAAAGCTCTTATAATGAATATTTTGGGGGCTGGCAGTGGTAGAGCACTTGCCTAACGTATTCTAAACATGAATTTGTCCTAGAACATAGAGCTTAAGACTCTTTCTCCTTGTTGAGCCTTCATTACAGTTTTTACTTGACAGGATAACCACAAGAATATTCCCTATGGCCCTTACTAATTAGTTTCTATCTCCACTAATCTGTCTGTTGATTGTAATTTTCAGAACACCATCTTTGCTATTATTATGAAAGATCTACTAAAGAACTTTTAATGTTGTTTTGTTTGTGCAGTGATAAAGTCTGCTTTTTGACATTCAGGTTTTCCATTTATCTGGCTTCAACCCTATGTGTAGATGAAATTAGAAAATATGTTGTTATGTATAAAGAATCCCTACTTCCTATCACTCTGGGCACAAGTTTCTGTCTTCTTTGACCTATGTTGAGCCTGACTTTCTATATCGTCAGTATTTCCACTCTACTAGATTATTTCAATCAGCATTATAAATATGCTATAGTATCTCTCAAATTAAAAAGTACCCCCTCACCCAAAAGAAAAAAAGACACTAAAACTTATTTTCCTGACTTTTTTTTTCCTTCTTTTTTGGCAGGACTTGGGGTTTGAACTCAGGGTTTCACACTTGCAAAGCAGTGCCACTATTAAAAATGTCAATATGTCAGTGTTTGTGCTGGTATGGAATCACTTTAGGTCATTTAGTCACATTGAACAGATTGCTGACTAATTTCATTGATTCTTATTAATATGATATACTATGCATTATTCTAAGTGATGGACTGAACACTGACAAAACCCCTACCACCTTGTCCAGGGGAAGGCATGTGATAAGGAATATGTGAGAAGAAAAAGTAGGGAAGGTGATAATGTGCCATTGTGTATTGTGTACTTGGATGACCCTTCTTACGAAGGTATCATATAGTCACTTAACTAAAGAAAAGCCTATATACTTGTATTTTTAGGTGGAAGAAAAGAGGCAGTACAGATTGAGTATGCTTAATTATAGATACTCAGAAAACCAAACTTTTTTTTTTTCTTTTTGGTGGGTGGAGTAGTACAGGTTATTGAACTTAAGACCTCATATTTGTTAGGCAAGGCTCTCTCACTTGAGCCATGCCTTTAGTCCTTTTGCTTTTTGGTTTGCCCCAGCTGGCCTTGGACAGCTAACCTCCTCCTTCCATTTCCTAGTAGCTGTGATTACAGGTATGTTCCACCATGCCTGGCCTCGAAATCCACTTTTTTCAGCACTGACATGACAGACACTCAAAAAGTTTTAGATTTGGGCTGGCAGAGTGACTCAAGTGGTAGAGTTCCTGCTTGGCCAAGTGCAAGGTCCTGAGTTCAGACCCCCTAGTATCACCAAAAAGTTTTAAGGTTTTGGAATATTTCAGATTAGGAATGTCGTTGAAGTCTGTGTAAATAGACTACGCAAAGTCTATGCAAATATTCCACTAAAACCTCCAAAATATGAAACACTTCTATTCTGAAGCATTTGGATAAGGGATACTCAACCTGCAAAAAGAAAAGGAAAATTAGGAAAAGATAAGGTAAAACGATATAGCCAGAGCCTGTTAGATTCTCTTTCACCAATAAAAACAACAAAAAAATTTTTTTTATTCAGTTTCTCCTCTCCTGAAAATAAAATTTATGGTATGCTCCTGTTAGCATGGAGGCAATCTATTTACCATTTTATTACTCAGAAACATATCTGTATGGCCATGACTTAAAGACAAAACCTTTTTCTTTTTTTCTGAAAACTAAGCAGTATCACCTTGTCTTTTTTCAATATACTTTTTCTTCACTAGGAAAACACACAAAGTATAAGTGTAAGAGGCATCAGATTTATTCCAGGTCCTCCCGGAAATAAGGATCTTTGTTTTACTTGGCGTGAGTTTTCTGACTTTATTCGAGTGCAGCTAATTTCTGGACCTCCAGCTAAACTTCTGCTTATAGACTGGCCAGAACTAAAGGAGGTAAGTAACTTCATTTTTAACTGAAAGAATGTAATGCCACTTGGTTTAATTACTTTCAGATTATCAGTGGATTAGAAAAGGTAAATTTTGTTGTTGAAGAAACAACAGTTTTAACTAATACCAACAAAAGAACAAGGTAATGTCTTACGGCTTCATTATTTAATTGATCAGTGTCATAGTTTGCTAAAATAATGTGTAATAATTCAAATTTTATAAACTATATTCTGAAAATTTTCAAACATACATAAAAATAAAAAGAATAATATTTAAATATTAAACCACATTGTTCCAGTTACCCAATTCCATCAGTTCCTGCCAATTTTGTTTCATTATTCTCTCAGACTAACTTAAAAAATTTTTGGTGGTACTAGAGGTTGACTTCAGGGCCTCACACTTGTAGGCAGTTGCTCTACTACTTGAAGTACATCTCCAGCTCACTTAAAAACTTTTTATTGGAGTAGGGCGCTGGTGACTCATGCCTGCGATCCTAGGTACTTTGGAAGCTGAGATCAGAAGAATCAAAGTTCAGCGCCAGTCCAGGCAAAGAGTTCATGAGACCCCCCCCATCTCCAAAATAACCAGAGCAAAATGGTCTGGAGGTGTGGCCCAAGCACCTGCTTTGCAAGCTTGAATCCCTGAGTTCATACTCCAGCCCCATCAAAAAAACAAAAAACCAAGAACTTTTAATTATGGTTTTTGAAAGCATATTCCAGGCATCAAGTCATCAGACCCCCATACATCATATGCCTTCCTATAAAAGTACTTAAATACTAATTTTGCAAATATGTGCCAGATCTTACTTTGATTTTTTTTTTTTACTGAATTTTTTTTAAATGTTTTACTTATTTTTAATTAATAAATTAAAAATTGTATGTATTCATCTTACATTATGTTGTTTTGACATAAGTATACATTGTGGAATGGTTATTATTGAACTAATTATGACACATGCATTACTTCACATACTTACCTTTTAGTGGTGAAAAGAATATAAAAATCTGTCTTAACCTGGGCTTGGGGGTGTTTGCCTATAATCCCAGCATTCAGGAATCCGAGGCAGAAGGAATTTTAGTTTGAGGCAGTTTAGGACTCAAGTGAGACCCTGTCTCAAAATATTTTTTGTTTTTACTCTCTTAGCAGTTTTCAAGAGTTCAGTACATTATTAAGTATAATCACCACCTTGTTTATACAAAAGATCTCTTTAACTTAGTCCTTCTGTCTAAAGTTTTGTGTCCTTTGATAGAATTCTAATTTTCTTAAATACTCAGATTCTGGTGTCCAACTATGGTGTAGGAGGCTTTTAATTATTATTACGATAACTTAAGAACTCACATCGCCAAATAGTAGATGAAATTATCCTAGTAAAAGGACCTGTTTGTGTTAAGGAACCCTGTACTATCCTATCTGATATCATGACCCTTTTTGATTTGTGAGTATAAAAAAACAGATGAGTACTGGTTATGACAGTGTGCTTTAAGGAGCAGTAATTTCTTGTAGTAGTGTGTTGACTGAGGGGTTTAACTGAAACCAGTCACTTATTTTTATCTGGGTTCCCTTAACACTACATAAATTACCACATATAGATGATATAATTACTTGTATACTTATAAAACAAATCAACTTATCTCTGTTCTGTTTAAAAAATCAGTTCTTTCATCAGTGAAAATAAACTGACTACATTCTGAAACAATTGTGGGGTTTTTTTGTGGTGCTGGGATTTGAACTCAGGGCCTGCACCTTGAGCTACTCCACCAGCTCTTTTTTTATGGTGGGTTTTTCCGAGATAGGGTCTTGTGAACTATTTGCCTGGGCCGGCTTCAAACCACAGTCCTCCTGATGTCTGCCTCCTGAGTAGCTAGGATTACAGAAGTGAGCCAGTGGTGCCTGGCAACAATTGTGTATTTTTGTAGGGATGGAATTTAAAAGATAATGAAATCTTGTTAACTCATACATTTATCATAAGATTTATTTGCAGATATCATAGTAATCCTAAAGCTTCATGATGAAACCTGAAACTAGTTCACTCATCCGTTAGCAATATGTTTATGTGTAGATAAGGCTGTAAATTGATCATTTTCTCTCTGATATTCATGTATTCCTTGAGTTTCCTGATTCTGTTTTTTTTTATGGGGGTGGTTGCTGGTGTTTGAACTCAGGGCCTCACTCCTGCTAGACTGATGCTTTACCACTTGAGCCACTTCACTTCGCCAGTCCCCTGATTTAATTCTTGACTCACCTTCACCCCATAGGAAAAGGGGAACTAAGATAACACCTACCATGATCATTATAAAAATTATAAATAGATCAGTGTACATACACATATATTACTTTTAATTTTATAAATAAGGAAACTGAAATTCGGTGATATTAAATATCATGCCAAAATTTAAAAGTGATAGAGAATAGATTTATTTTCATAGACATTTGTTTTTGAAATTTGACTTTTTTCACTATTTCCCAGAAAACTTTATTGCTACCAGCTTTGATTAAAATCATTTAATGAAAGTTACATTTATTTAAAAGCACTGGCCATGGTGGCACACACTTACGTTGCCAGCATCTGTGTGGTAGAGGCAGGAGTATCATGAATTTAGGCCAGCCTGGGCTGCATAGCATGACACTGACTGAAAAAAAAGTCTGAATACATGATATTTGATGACTGTAGGTACTATGTGCTCACTTTTGGAAACTATCATTTCTTTTTAGTTCAAGGTTTTTCCATTCTCTAGCAGATAGAATATAGTCAACTGTAGTCTTGTAAACTATATAGTGGACAAGCATTATGTGTAAACTGGTCTGAAGATTCATGTTTGTTTTGATATCCTATCCATAGCACAGCAATAATTTTTCCCTCCATGTCTACCACACTCCCAACATAATTTTGTTAAAATGTCTGTTTTTTGTTTAGGGGGATTTTTGCCTGTGCACACATTGTTCTTATCGATAAAACTCACCTCCATTGCAATTCCTTGTCCTTTTCCCAACCCTCTGTTGTTTACGTACAATGGTAGACAGCCCAAAATTAACAGAAGAGTTAAACTCTAGATTGCCAATGCTAAATCTGAGAACCAAAAATAAGCTATTTCTGTTGAAGTCATTCTAATATGTAACTTGTAGAAACGTAATTTGTGATCATTTAATTGGCCTTCAAAAGTTTATTTTCATTAATGAAGTGATTTGTGAATAGAACATTGATAAATGAGGTAATTTGTTTTATAAGTAGACAAGTAATTATATTATCTGGCACAAATATTTCACTGTTTCTTAAAATATTTTTATCTGTTTCAGTCTATTCCAGTGATTAATGGAAGAGAATTACAGAACCCTCTTGCTGTTCAACTTTGTGATCAGTGGGATAATCCAGCACCAGTACCACACGTTAAAATAAGTCTTGTAAAAGCTAGTAGTTTAAAGGTAAGTTACCTTACTTAAGTATTTTCCATTTAAAAGTCTACTGTGAAGCTGGGATGAAGTGTTTGCCTGGCATGGAAAAGCCTGTGTTCAGTCTCTAGACAGACAGACAGACAGACAGACTGCACACACACACACACACAAACACTCTCTCTTGATACTATGTTTAGGTTTCACATTTACTTGAGGAAGTAAAGTTTTCAGCTTACAATCAGTGGAACAAGGGGCCAACAGTCAAATGTTTAAGTGTTTATTATACAGGACTAGTAATACATGCATTTCTGAGTAGAATGGGTAGATGATTAATTCTAATAAGGTGAATGAAGACAGATATCACAAATGGCTTACAGTGTGATTTAAGGAATAGGCATTATTGGGGAATGTGCTGAATCTAACCAAAAAGAAGCATGCCAGGTACCTGTCCTCTAATCTTACAGAGAGTTGTTGAGTTTGGGCAGAGCTTCTAGACCTATGCTGGATTGTATTCTAGAGTGAAGCTCCTTTACTGTCATTCTTTTTATGGGGCAAGTATGAACATGGTCTTGTTAATATTGGGTACTTCCAGAGTGCTTGGTTACCGGAAAGTTCAAGATTAGGTATGAACTATTTCCATGAGTATTGGAACAACCAGCTGCTCAGGGTCTAGTTTTGTGGCTAATGCAGAGTTGGAGGCCTTCTTGCTAGAGGAAAGAAGAGAAGCTGCTGACTCTTCCCAAGTTTTATCTTTACGTAGTACTTTCTGTTGGTTGAGGGAAACTCGTTGTTCCTAGTCAAGTTCTTGCCAGGCAACCCAGAGAAATTTCCCAGGGCTATACTCTAGACAGTCTGAAGTATCCCACAAATATTTTATAAATATAGTGGGAGAATCCATTGATACTATGAGAAGGTGGCAGTACTCTTGAAATTAATTAGTTCAATCAGAATCCTAGGAGAGATTTCCCTAGACCTACAAGTTAATCTTAAAGTCAGTATGGGAATTTAAAGTAGTAGAAATGTCCTGTGGTACTCATGGACCTGTTCTCCTAGTAATGAGAGTCAGGGTTCTTAAAATTGTCATCCAAGACTATGGTATGGCTGTTACACAAATGAATACAAAACTTCTCTGACTTAGCAACAAAGATTTGGGACCCAGATGGAGAGAAAAGACTTGAAAGGCAATGGATCCAAGGGTAAATCAAACAGGATACAGGACTGTATCCTATCATTTCAGTTACTGTTCTTTGTTTTTCCTTCTTAAGCTATTACTTTATCTGTCAGAATATACCACTGTAACCTACTCTTTATATGTGTTTTGTTTTTGAGTCAAGATCTTACTACGTAGCTAAGGATGGTCTCAAACTCATGATTCTCATGCCTCTGGCTCCCGAGTACTGGGATTATAATTGTGCACTACCACACCCAGCTCTGTGGTTTCTTCTGCAGAGATGAGTGTTACAGTTTAGGAGAGAGTCTCATTTTTGCTATTATAATCTACAAATTCACTTTTGTTCTAAAAATTTGCTTCCAGGAAAGTTAAATAGTGGTTATATTGAACCTCAGAATAAGAGTATGATTCTCTTTTCTAGAGAAGCATTCTAAAAGACCGAGTCTCTTCTAATCAGTTACTTGGAAATACGACCTCTGATTCTTAATCACTTGAAAGTGAAAGCTTAGTTATCACTATGAAGCTAGTAGTATTACGGCAAAAATTTAAGAAGCACACCTGAGTAAACATTCAAGACAAAGAACAGAGATATTGCTGTGATGCCTAGACTTCAGTATATGCCTGAATTTTTTTTTTCTTGAGTGCTGTCCTCCATAACTGCCCCAGCTTTCCCATATACCATCAGTGTTTGTGTAACCAGACTTCAATGATATATCAATAGGATCAATATAGTAAATTTATAATTCTGCAGCTTGATAATTTTATTGTGAAATTCTAATCTAATTGAGATAAGTGATAATTATCTTTTGGATTATGTAATTACATGACATTATTTCAAGTAATTTCATGTTTGAAATTTTTGTACATTTCAGCAGTGTATGCAAGTATAACTTTCAAAATGGGACTATATTAAAAGAACGTCATAAAGAAAACAACCTCATTTGGTCTCAAGAAGTTTGTAATTAACCATTTTTCTTTTGTTTTGTTTTAGCTCACGCCTTCAAATCAACAGCATAAAACAGATGAGAAAGGCAGGGCTAACTTGGGAGTGTTCATTGTTTTTGCCCCTAGGTAAGAACCAAAAGTTTGATAGATACTGGTGTTACACAGATTGATTTTTCTTATTACTTGCTGAATAGTAATAACCATCCTTTTACTTAGTATTAGGTATGAGTTGGAACTGAACAGTAGTAGAGAGATTCCCTAAAAGCTAAAATTTGTGTAAATTGTGTCTGAATTTTTAGGTTATAACTAATGTAATTTGAATCCCTTTCCTTTGCCCTCTCCTTTTTTCCATTGTTGTTGTTGTTAGGGGAGAACATACTATGCAGGTTAAAGCCATCTATAACAAGAGTACCATAGAAGGACCTATAATTAAGTTAATGATTCTTCCAGACCCTGAAAAACCCATTCGACTCAATGTTAAATACGACAAAGATGCTTCCTTTTTAGCAGGGGATGTTTTCACTGGTGAGTATTTGACAGTATTAAAAATTTGTAATGATAATTTGCCTTATAATAACATTAGCGGGATAAATTATTTATACTTAGTGTTCAGCATGATTTAAAAAGAAGCCTGCATGTCATGACCTTTTAAATGGCAAAGAAAATGTATATGACAGTTTCTACCCTCATCCCTTAGTTCTGCAGTCCATTAACAATGAACTAAAAGTTTATGTAGTAACTGGTAGCCTAAGGTAATTAGTTCAGTTGATGTATGTTCATTCACTGAATAGTAAAATATAAAAGTCATTTCAGGATTTATGATATTTCAGAGAAACATTTATTAACTACCTACTGTGTTGGGCTCCTAGTTTTTAATGAGTTCACTCTAATGTGGAGACAATTAGATAGTCAAATACTTTCAACATAGGGTAGCTGTTGCTAAGTCAATAAGAAATTAGTACTTGGTTTACACAGCTAATTTTCTGGAAGACTTCTGTTTTATTGAAGGGATAAACACCTATACATGGTTATAAGTAGTGAAAGAAATACACCAAAAAGTTCATTTTAAATTTTTTAACAATTAAATTTCTTATATTCATAGCCTTTTCTATTTCATACATTCTGTGTTAAATCTGTTTGAAAGAAATAAGACATTTCTTATAAAGAACTAATAGGTTTTAAAAGTTACATACAGATGGTAAATATAATGGGAATATTATATATAATAATACTTTAGCTACTGTATGCTATAGAAAATCATAAAAGAAAGTACCATTCTGTTCTAGGAATACAGCATATGATGATGTGGCCAGTTGGCCTAATTCCAAGTTGCTGAGCATAGATAGTGTGTCCATTTTGGTCTTGCATGCTAGAGTTTGCATCCTGGCAGACTGTGGTGATAAGACAAGGAAATATTAGTAGCAAAGATATGTTTGTTAGATTTCTGGAGGAGAACTTGATGTCCATATTTAGCCCTAGATAGTTATCTGTCACGATTACTAAGTTTTCTGGATGAATTGTTGGGAATGCAGGGTAAAGAATAGTCTTACTTTCTTTTTCATCACAATATTATTATTAAAATTTTAAAAAGATGTATACTTTATGTTTACCATAACAGATTTTATGGTTAGCGTTATTTCTGAAGATGACAGTGTCATCAAAAATATTAATCCAGCACGTATTTCCATGAAAATGTGGAAGCTGACTAGTAATGCAAACCGACCACCTGCAAATGTGAGTAAAGGAAAACATTTTTAGAAGTTAAAAATATAACTTAAAATTAAATCTAATATAGTGTAAAAATAAGATATGTATGTATTTGAAAACTAGAAATTAATCTACTCCATTCCCTGGGATTGAAAGTACATTTCATAGTTAGGTGTTGGTGCTGCTTTTTTGTTGGTGTTTTCTTGAGATGGAACCTGACCATGTCACACAGACTGGTCTGAAACTTGTGATTCTCCCTCCTCAGTCTCCCTAATAGTTGAGATTATAGTCATCCAGCCCATTGATGCTATTGAAGAAGTGTAGCATACATTCTGATTTTTCTTAACATGTTAATTTTATACCTTATTTTGTCTAAAAGACAGTAGCACAAATAAAGAGCTATTAAATATCACCCTGGGATGATACAGAAAATCAGAGAGCAAAGAAATGTTGATAAAACTATAGTGTAGAGATGGGGAAGTTGGGAAGTGTGAGATCTGAGTGTTTAAATTTTCTGGTAGCCACATTACAAAGGTTTAAAAAAGAAGTGAAGTTACTGTTTTATGGGTTTTTTTCCTGTTTTTTGAGACAGAGTCTTGCTGTATAGCCCAGGCTGGCCTGAAACTTGCAATCCTCCTCCCTCAGCCTCCTGAGTGCTGGGATTATAGGTTGTGCCCCACAACTTCTGGTAAATTAATTTTAATATTTCTAATCAGATATATCAGAAGTTACCATTTCCGCATGTTCTTGGTATTTTAAAAGTTACCGTAATCTTGAATTCTTTCCCCAATTCTCCAAAACTTGGTGTGCATCTTACAGCATCTCAGTTCAGAAAACCACATTTTTTAAATACTTAATAGCCACATGCATCATCTTGGCTCCGTTACTGAACAATATAAATTTGAGGTAAGTCTCAAATTGAAAGTGAAATCCTAAAAATTGTCAGAGCATCCCAATTAAATAACCCAGTATTTAAGTTTCATTTGCATCTTCTTTTTAAAGAATTTAACTTGTTTAATGGTCTGAAGATTTCCAGCTGAGCAACCTGGATCTTCAGTTTAGCCTAGCAGTTCAGTGAAGTTGCTATTATCATAAAATATTACTATCAATATAAAGATGTATTATATATATTTTAATAATGGTGTGTCTTTCCATTGTGACTTTTCTTATTGAGTATTTCATGTATTGTACAGATAGGTATGTGTGTACTTACATATTTAGAAAGCCAAATGCAATCTAATTCACTTTTAATTCAGATATATAGTAAGTTTTCATCCTAAGTATACCCTGTTAAAAGTTTGTTGTTTCCCCCTTCTCTCCTACTCCTCCTTCTAGGCAGAAACATTTAGTTGTAATAAAATAAAGGATAATGACAAGGAAGATGGGTGCTTCTATTTCAGGTATTTCTCAAATCATTATATATTTTCAAGCATATTTTGGTACATAGTAATTCAACCTTAGAAATATTTACCTACTCACCTAAGGAGAAAGAATTTATGATCAAGAAGAAAATGTTAATAGTGTCTTTTACTTGGGAGGATGTATTACTTATTTTTCACAAAGCTTTGTAAAATGATTTGGAGGGAGATTGTTGTGATGGTTGTATTAGCATTAGAAAGCATCAAAGCCATGAGAAAAATTTATGTTGTCATAGCCCTTTATATTTTTTTAAATTACATAGAGTTCTATAATTCTAAGATTTCATAAAGTAAAACTACTTTTAGTGTTGATGTGACTTGAGCTGTTGCCTCTTCATTCTGGACCTCCATTTTCAAGTCTGAAAAAAACTTTGAAAGGATTGTATCTATACTTTTTTTTTTCTTTTCTTTTTCCCCCCAAAGGTTTTGTCCTAATATTTTTAAACTGTCAGTAGAGTTGAATATTTACTTTATTTGTTCAGTGCTTTTTCCTTTTTTTTTTTTAGTACTGGTGATTGAACTCAGGGCTTCACACTTCCTAGGCAGCCACACTACCACTTGAGCCACTCGGCCAGCCCTTCACATTTTTCTTAATGCATATTAATTGACAGTGCTTTTTCATTGCTGCCTAGTAGTCTACAGGATGCAGTTGTTCATTCTGCTTATGACCATTTTACATTATTTTCAGTTTGGGGCTGTTATATTATCTATAATCATATATTATCATTATTACATAACAGATTCACATAGAGAAGTGGAATTGCTGGGTTAGATGTTTAGTGACACTAAATATAGATGTGTATTTAACTTTAGTAGCTGCTGTCAGACAGTTTTGGAGGTTTTGCTTTTGTGTATTGAAATGAGGTCTTCATCTATAGCCCAGTCTTGTCTCAGACTCGTGTGCTCAAGAGATTGTCCCACCTCAGCCTCCTTAAGTTCTTGGGATTACATGTGCCCAGCTTAAATTTACAGGTTTTGTTTGTTTGTTTTTTAATGAACCCAAATAGCGAAAGTGTCTAGCGGTCCCTTGGGTCTCCTTTGATGTCTCTTGTTTCTGTTGATGTTTAATCTAACTCTCTTGCTTCTTCATTTATTTGTTTTCTTGTTGTACCAAACATCGTTATTTATTAATACCTATGAAAATAATTGTATGTGTAGAATAATAATCTTTCACCAGAGAGGTTTACATTTGCTTCTATCAGTTGTCAGATTTAAGATGATTTCAAAGCTGAGTTGCATTTCCCTTAGGAGGCTGTCTACCTAAGGTCTACCTATGCTCCTAGAATGGGATCTCAGGGGAAGAAGCAATTGAGAGGATCGTGATTTGAGGCCATTCCAGGCAGAAGTTTGTAAGACGATTTCAACTAATGGCTAGGCACAGTGGCACATGCCAAAGCTACATGGGGAAGCATAAATAGGACCATGATCCAGGCCAGCCCAGGCACGAATTGAGAATCTATCTCAAACATAACCAAAGGATTTTTGCTAATAGCATGGCTCAAGTTGTAGAGGGCCTGTGTGGCAAGGGTGAGGCTAAGTTCAACCCCTAGTGCCATCAAAAGAAAGAAAAAAGAATTGTGTCCCAGGAATAAGGTGTGGCAGTCATCTTCTAGGGCTTCCATCCTATCTGTTTATATCCTTACCATTTTTTTTTACTTTAACTTATTAGCTCTTCTACATCTTTAAAACAATTTTTTAAGAAACATGGCTGTTTTCATCTGGAAAGATTCTTGTCCCATTTGTATTATTAGTCTTGTTTTATTTTTAGTATTTTTCATATTTTTATTGTGGTAAAATATGACAAAAACAAGTCCATAAGTGCCTCTCAATAGGTACTGAGTTTCTCCATGATAGTTTAAATAAATAAATAATTTGAATATATAAAGTCAGACATATAGAATAGTACTGAGTAGAAAATAAAGCAACATACAAGATTGGCAGGATGGCCTATACTTTTGAAACATAAAACTGTCAGTTGGAAATTTATAATGTAGAAATGAAGCAAAATTCCCTTGACATACAACTAACCATGTTTTGTGTGTTTACTACTTTCTCAATGTTACATTCCTGTTCTTTCCATTTTCCCCATATCCAGAGCCTTTGTTCTGGATCTTATGTGAAAGAATGTATAGGTAAGAGAGACCTAGCATCAAGCCTATGTATAAGAAATATTTGTTAAATGAATAAAAGTGAATGTAGTATTACTAATTCCCTTTTTATTCATTTACTTGTGGAAGGGAAATTACTATTGATGCTTTGAATTCCTTTCCCCTTAAAAATTATCAGTACATCTTAACTCCTTCTTTTTAATTTAGGGATAAAGTAATTCCTAACAAAGTGGGGACATACTGTATCCAGTTTGGTTTTATGATGGATAAAGCTAATATGCTCAACAGTGAACAGGTTTGCTTACTTTCTTTTGTATAGCATGGTTTGCTTTACATTTACTTACTTAATTTATGAGGTATTTGGTTTAAAAGTGAATTAATTAGTGGATTCAAAGTATAAATTCAGTACCCTCCCTTATTCATGGGGGACACATACCAAGTCCCCCCAGAATGCCTGAATCTGGGGATAGTATCAAATACTGTATGTATTACTGTTTTCTCCTGTATGTACATTCTTTTCATAAAGTTTAATAAGTTAGAAACAATAAGAGATTAATAACAATAGCTAATTAAAATAGAACTATAGCCATATGCTGTAATAAGTTACTTAAAATTTACAAATTGTTTATTTCTGGAATTTTCCTCTTAATATTTTCAGACCATGGTTGACCACAGATAACTAAACACAAAAGGAAAACTAGATAAGGAGGGGGGGACAGCTGTAATGTGATTTATTTTCAGGAAAATTAAATATATTTAAACTATGTTCAGTAATTAAAGCTGACGTAGAAGTCACTTTTCTATTCCTCTTCATACCAAAGACTCAATTAGTAAGCATTTTGTTGTGTATCATGCTAAAGTTGCTTATGTCAGTCATACATGAACAAATTTCAATTAATATTTCATTACTACTCTGGAGAGTTCTAACATACATCATCTCCATTTAGTTTTTAAAGTATAATAAAGTTTTTTAATTACTTCTTTTAAATGCTTCTAAGCTTACTCTTAGATGCTTATTGTAAATATTCAAAAATCTGACATCCCTTTTATTCTGAATTTTTAAAGTGAATTTCTTTTAAGATATTTGTGAAAAATCAATTTTAGAAGATAACTTCATTTAGTAAATGCATACATTGTTTCTTATCTTCCTCTTAAATAGTAGGGAATTAATATTCATACATTGTTAATCAGAATGCTTCTTTGTTTTATAAGGTTATAGTTGATGTTCTGCCTAATCTGCCTATGAAGTTGGTTCCTGAAATTCAACCAGCTACCCCAGCTGTCTCTAATGTTCGCTCAGTTGCCAGTAGGACCTTGGTCAGAGACTTACGTCTCAGTATTACGGTAATGTTTTACTTCTCCCAAAACTATGAAGTTTAACAAGAAAAATTGTCTATGATATTCAGGTGCAGAATGCTTATTGTAGTCAGTAATTCAGTTTAAGCTTTCAATGGACACTTGTGCAGATCAGTTAAATACTTACAAACACATGTATTTGGATATGAATAGAATGTAAAACATACATAAAATAAAAACAGATTGATTCAGTAAGAACTGACTCAAGATGAGGAAATCTGCTAGTTCGTATATGTATGAATGTATATGAGCAACATTGATTTCTTATGTTCAGTTCATGTTTGTTTTTGTCTGTACTGGGGCTTGAACTCAGGGCCTCATGCTTGCTAAGCAGGTGCTCTACCACTTGAACCATACCTCTAGCCCTGGGGGGGTTTTCTCTTTTGTTTTGAGATAGAGATTCACTAACTTTTGCCTAGGCTGGTCTCAAACTGCAATCCTCTTTTATCTCTAGTCAAGTATATTTAAGATTTATAATGACTGATCATTCTTAAGGAAGAAAACCTTAGCACCTCAAAGCTACTGATTATCTGGATGATAAGCAACCCTAGAATTGCCAAAAATAGTAACAGAAGCATGTAAATACAGGGATGAGGGGCTGGGATGTCGCTGAGTGGTAGAACACCTGCCTTGCATGCCCAGGGCTTGTGTTTGACTCCCCAGAACCAAAAACAAAAAACCCAACTGGTAAGACTTCAGTTTTATGGACAGTTCTGCTGGTGGGGTACTCCTTTCAGTTTATTTTCCTGTTTCAGACAAGTGAATGTTTCTTTTTGTTTGTTTTTTGGGATGTTTGGTTGGTGGCGATCAAAGCCAGGCCTTGTAGTGTGCAAGGCAAACACTCTACAAGTGAGCCATAGCCCCAGCCATTGGTTTTTTTTTGAGGCAGGGAATTACTGTGTAATCCAGGCTAACTTCTAACTTCGGAGCCTCCTGCTTCTGTCTTCTGTCTGCTGGAATTATAGGTATGTGCCCCTAAACCCAGTGGCAAGTGAGAGGTTGTTCTGTTTTGTCTTTCTGAGACAGTATCTCTATGTAGCTCAAGCTGGCCTTGAATTTAAGATCTTCCTGTTTGTTTTAGCCTCCCAAGTGCTAGGATTATAGCTATGTGCCACTGTTCAGGGCTATACATAATGCCTTTTTTTTTTTTTTTTTCCCTTTTGGGGGTACTGGATTTCAAATCAAGGCCTGATTCTTGATAGACACTCTACCACTGGAGCTACACCCCCAGCAAATGAGAGGTTCTTAACTTTTCTTCCCCAAATATCTTCTGGGTTAAAGAGAGTACTGTAGAAGTAATGCAAGGGTGTTCGAATCCATATATACACAAACACTGTATGAAGACTGTATTTCACACATACAGGACTGTTGCCTTTGAAAAGTATACAGATGTTGTTGAAGTTAATAAAATCATAATACCTTTTTGTATTAAACACTTTCTAGCAGCAGTAGATACAGTAATACAATAAGATGAAATTTTTCATTGAGAATTCTTAATTTAGAAAGTTAAGCTCCATGATGTTATATGGCCTCTGCTTGTTTCATGGCTTCTGGAACTGTTTCCTGAATTGTGAAACACAGAAACTTAGAACTGAATTCTGTTCTTGAATTTAAAAAGACCAGGATGATTTAATGCTAGGGCTCTGTAAATACATGTCATATTTCTCATTTGTACAGTCCCTTCTCTGGGTTTAGTTTTCTAACCAGTTTTTGTATTTTTTTTTTTTTTTAAGTTTTAGCAAGGATTTATTTTAGTGTAATAGGATAATGTAGAGGAAAGCATGGAGAAAGGGGGAGAGACATTTCCTGTTCCCCATGCTGAAAATGGTGGTTCTTATCTGTGGCCTTTATACTTTCTGAGCTGGGCTTATACACCCTAATCCTTAGACAGTAGTTTTAGGATGCCTAAGATATGTGCTATTTATTATCCTAAAGCATGAAGATGCAATCTAGGCCTACCTAAAACTCAGGGATAATAGGTAATTTTAGAATTTCCCTTTGCTAGTCATGCCTTCCAATTCCCTGTCTCTTTATTCTTCACACAGAGTTCATAGCTTTTTAACATCCCAAAGGAGAAGGCAGATGCACTAATTATTTTCTATTGTTTATTTTAAGGATAATTATGGCAATCATACTGGAATGAATTTGGTTGGCAGTGTATTAGCTACCATTAAAGGTTTTAATGAGGAAGATACTGATACCCCCCTCTTTATTGGGAAAGTTAGAACACTCGAATTTCCCTTTGTGAATGGTTCAGCTGATATTACGGTAAGTTTTTATATCTTTTGGTGATAAAATTTGTGTATTTAATATTCTAAGACAACATATTAGGATACTTGTTCATTTGTATGCATACCTATGAAAAAGTTCTAATTAACGTATTACATTGGAAAGCCAGCTGAAATATTTTACAAATTGGATTTGGAAAGCAAGTCTTTAAAGTATATGTTACTTTTATAATAGAAATTATATTGGGATAATACATAGTAAGAATAATAAACAGTATGTGAATGGGATTGGGAATTGATTTTGTGGTGGACTTATATTCTCTATTCTTTGTAAAAACAGAATTCTTAGCTTAAATTTTATAACTTTTTATGTTTTGTATTGATCTATACTGTTCTGTCAATTCACATTTTTTTTAATTTTACTTTTCTATCTGTAAATTATTTTTGTAGTCTGAAAAACAAAGCACTAGTTTCTATTTCTGCACAAACGTGAAAAATCATTTGGGATAAAAATATTTGTGTGCATCACTTACTAGTTATATGTTTTGGTCTTAAGCCAAAGCAGACTAAGGTTTTTGTGTGTTAATACAAAAATAGAATTTTAAACAACAAATCTTAAAAGCTTTTTCAAGGACCTCTTGTTCTGTCACCTGGGACTGGAGGATCTACTTCCATGGGAACAGCTGTAACTTAAACTCAGCATTGAGCTTTGGGCATTTCTTTGTGATTGTTTTTATAACTTTCACACTACTAGCTATTTCACACTGCTTCAACTTAAAGGTTAGAATCAAGAAGATTTTGTAGGTCAGGATGTAAGTGGACATCCATACATCTAATGTAAAGAAGATAGTTTTTCTTATACTGTTCCATTTTATATAATTTTTGCATAAATTGTACTGATAAGATCATTTGGCTTTCAAACCAGTTCCAAAAGGTAAACTGATTTGTTTCATGTTTTATGTGGTGTTGGTTAAAGATCAGTCAGTGCATTTTACCTTTAAAATTTACCTCTTACTTGAAAACGGCATGATGAGATATGTAATGTGAAATTTTTCTTTTTAAATTGAGATTTTCTTTATGCTTTTTTACTTACACAGAGTCTAGTGCTGGCAGAAAATAGCCCTGGAAGGGATAGTACTGAATACTTTATTGTTTTTGAGCCTCGGCTATCACCTTTATCAAGAACATTAGAATCATATATCCTACCATTTATGTTTTACAATGGTAAGTTTTTAGGAAAGTAGATTATAAACGCTATTGTTAGTGGTACTTTAGATAACCGTGCTTTGCTTTCTGTTGACAAGATATTTGGTCATGTTTTGGAAAAGTCAAAATTTTTAAATTGTTTATATTATCTGATTTTTTTTTTCTTTAGATGTTAAGAAACAGCAACAAATGGCAGCACTTACAAAAGAAAAGGATGAGTTATCTAAGTCTATTATTGTGTATAGAAGCTTATTTGAAGCCAGCAAACAACTTCTTGATGAAATGAAATGTAAGTAACCTGGTAATTCATAGGTAACAAAAAATTATGCTTTAGGGAGTGGTGAGACAGGAGGTGGAGACCATGAGACTAACATGTGTCTGTTTTCCTGGACTGTAAGTGAAATGAAGAATACTGCAGAAAGATAGTAATGGTGGCTATGTTAGTCACCATTGGGCAGTTTTTAAGATGAACTGTTCCTCATTTTAAATAAGCGTGTATCTTGCTAGCATATTTCAGAAAGTTGACACTTTCTGTTAGAAATACGGATCTTTGGAAAATGATCCAAAGATCTAAAATTCATATGCTTTTGGTATACTAATAATGTTTGTATCCAGCTGTAGCTCCTGGCAGAAGATACTGGATGACATTATTACTGAGGGAGTGATGAGTAATTTCGTTTTTAGTTTGGGTCATGGGCTGTATGTATTTTACACACCACAATGGCATATGGGGTCACAAGAAGTGAAACTGAAATATGTAATTTATTCTTGAGTCAATCCAGAGAATGTTTGCTGTTTAAATTATTTTCATATACAATTAAAATAAGGCATTTGCTGAATTGTATCACCTCATTCCCTTTCATTTGTCAGATATTTTTGCTATAGTTTTTGACTTGTGTTAGTTTTCATTTTTGTGTTAATTATATACTATAATAACTATTTTGTGTTAAAATTATATTTGTTTTATATGTATATATGTAGTTAAAATTTTCATCAACCAGTATTTATTGCCTGACTCACAATTTTGTGTACCTATACAAGATAAAAGATATAGTAGAAGTTGGGTGTCGTGGCTTACACCTGTGGGAGGCAGAGATCCTGATTATTGTTGAAGGCCAGCCCTGGCAAACAGTTAGGGATACCCCATCTTAGTCAGTAAAAAGTTGGGCATGGTGGTGCATGCCTCTTACCCAGCTAAGCAGGGAGGATTGTAGTCCAGGCCAGCCCAGGCATGAAAGCGAGACCCTATTTGAAAAATAACTAAAAACACAAAGGGCTCAAGTGGTAGAGTGCCTGCCTACCAAGTGCAGCCCCTGAATTCAAACCCCATTACCACCAAAAAACAGGTAACAGTAGTGATGACATATCATTTGTATAGCACTGTTTTTATAAAGTCTTACTTCTGAGCTCTACCCATCCAATTATGTATAAACATTTTATAATCGTGTGGAACAAGAGTAAATAACTTACCCCACATCATTAGGAGTTTGCAGTTCAATGATGTTGTAATATCACGCTTAGCTCCATTAATTTTATGTCTCATTTTTATATAACTGAACTTTAAGATTTCTAGTTTAATTTTGAATTTCTAAAATAATCGCCTATCAATTTTCGTTTTAGCATCAAACATTAAAAGGAAAAAAGGAGTTGAAAATTAAGGCTTTTTTTTTTTTTTTTTTTCCTCTTAAAAGCTGTGTTTTGAGGTCTATCAAAAATTGATGCAGGTTGTTTTTGCTGTTGTTTTTAATTTTAGGCCAAGTTGAAGAAGCACAATTAAAAGAGGCCCAGTTGAGAAATGAACTAAAAGCACATAATATTGATATGCCTACAACACAACAGGTACAGCTTCTAAAGATTTTTAAAATAAAATTTAACCATTTATGTTTCATTAGGAATGCTACAGATAATATTGTTTTAGGGTATAAATACGTATGTGCATTATAATATAGTCACCTACTATTTTGTTGTTTGTTTCTTTTCATGTTAAGATGTAGACATTGCTTTTATTATTTGAAGGAAGATGAAGAGAAGAAGTTGGAATTTCTACCTTAGTTCTTCCCACTTTATGTTGGTGTGTTTCTTGAAACAGTCTCCTTATGTCACCCATGTTAATCTCAAACTTGGAATCGTCCCGCAGTGGCCTCCCAAGTACTGGGAATTTAGCGCCATGTACTGCCTACAGTTTGCCTTTTTAATGTAATTGCACCCATAAAGGCAGTTAATATACCAATTCAAACATTGCAGTAAAAGGCTGCATAAGCAATAACCAGTATACATGATGGCTAAAGACGATGAAAGAAAGTAACAAAAAGCAGTATGGAACTTTTCAAATTTTATTTTCTATTATATGTATAATTCAGTTTCAAACAAATAAGTAGTGTATTTCTTTTTTTTTTTTTTTTTGACACAGAATCTTGCTGTGTAGCCCAGGCTGGCCTTAAACTCCTCCTGTCTCAGACTTCCAAGTGCTGAGATTATAGTGCCACCATGCCTGACTACTGGTTTTCTTTTTCTTTTTCTTTTTTTTTTTTTTGTGGGGGGGGTATTGTTTTTTTCTCCCCCCGGCTTGAATTCAGGGCTTCGTGCTTGTAAGCAGGCACTGTTACCACTTGAGCCACACCTCCAGCCTAAGGTAGTATATTTCTTAATGAGTATAAAAAACATTCAGTAAATTGCTAAGTGGTAGAAGTACACTTACAATGTACAAGAGCCTGGCTTCAGTCACCAGCACCAGTAGGAAAAAAGAAAAGGGCATTACATCTTTGAGCTGAGTTACAGTTCAGGGATAGAATGTTTGCCTAGTATGCATAAGGTCCTGGGTTTGTTTCTGAGCAAGAAATGACCCAAACAATGTATGCACATGTGAATAAATTAATAATAATTTTTAAAAATTCCTTCAGAAGGAATAAAAAAAAACAAGTATACATGCATATGCAATAAGAAAAAGAAGAAATATTCATTGAAATTGGATTGATTGATTGACTTATGGCAGTACTGGGGTTTGAATTCAGGGCCTCATGCTTGCTAGGCAGGTGTTCTATAATCCACCGGCCCTTTTTGAAAATGGGAATTACTATATTACTAGTGAGCATAGTTTTTGTTTTTGTTTTTTTGTTTTCTTTTTATGAAGTAATGCCTGCTGATTAACTTTATGTTCTTGGGTTCTCTAAATTGTTGATTTTTCCCTGCTGTCCTTGTTGGCTGCCTGATGCAAGAGTAATTGGCTTTGTAGATCATTTTTCTTTATAAATTACAGATGCCTCACATTGAAGCACTTTTGAAAAGAAAGATATCTGAACAGGAAGAACTAAAGAAAAAGCCTAGAAGATCATGTACTCTTCCAAATTATACTAAAGGCAGTGGAGATGTTTTAGGAAAGGTTTGTAAGAAGCAGTACATTCTTGTTGTCTAGTTTTGTTTAAAATATGTTGTCTAAAAGTGATATAATAGAGTGTCAGTTTCTCTGTAATTTTTAATTTGTTCCAATAGGATACCATAATAGGACCTTGTTTACTACTTAGAAATGTTTTCATGTCATAGGGCTTTTTGGAGAGTCAAGACCTTCACAGGAGACTGAATCTTAAGGTATATAACCAAGATAAAACAATACCAAAAGTCTTCTGAGTTCCAAGTCTAAGGCTATTAGAGAGTGAATTCCTAGAATTTAAGAAAAAGCAACAACAAACAAAAACTTTCTGCATATTTAATACTAAGGGATTAAATTCCTTTTCATCTGTTGTTCTTTCCATCTTTGGCTGCCTACATCAGATGGAGTTATATTTTCATTTTTATCCTACTGTTACTCAGTCATGAAATTCATTTTATTTCATGTTTTTATAGAATGGAATTTCTATTTGCAAATATTATTAAGTTTAGATGACTGTGATTTCTTTTCCTTTTATGGTTAATATACCCTTCTAGATAGATTTTACTCTATTATGGTATTTATTTCAAAAAGTAAGCCTAATTTGTCACAAATAAGACTTCTTTTTTCTTGTGGCTATAGTGTGGCTCAAGTGATCGAGTGCCTGCCTAGCAAGCACAAGATACTGAGCTCAAATGCAAGTACTGCAAACAAAATAAATTAAGACTTGTTTCTTTTGTTGTATTTGATTTTGCCTTTACTAACCCTCATGCATTGACTAGAACTCTCATTCTCTTTTTTTAAACCCATGAGTCACATCCCCAGCCTGCATGTCTTGTTTTCTTACTTTTCTTTACCTTATTTCTGGTGAATTGGGAAATAAGGGCAGACATTATGATGTTTCTAACAGTGTTGTAAAACATTCCTGTTGCTAGTGCTGCCAGATCAGCTAAGAATAAAGGGTAGGCATGACCAGATCAGCACAATGAATGAGGTTTTGATAAGGCCACAATATCCCCAACCTTGGTGGACTTTGAACAAGAATGCTTGCTACCAAAAGCCAGTTTTTTTAAGGAAAGTGAATACTTACCCTTAGCTCCAAAGAAACGTTCCTATCAGCAGAAGTTGAAGAAACGATGCTTATTTGTAGTACATGTCCTTGCTGAAAGAATATACTACAAAGGTAAATATCTTCTTAGTAAAGAATATGAGGTATATATGTTTAACTAAATCTCAACTACACTGTTTTATTCTTTATTTAAATGAACTTAATGGCTGTCAGTGACTTCCGAATCATAGATACTAAAATATAAAAAAACAAATTTTTAATTAGCTAACAGTTATCAGTATTTTTTTATTTGTAAATTTGCTAGAAGAAATTACTGTGGAAATTTTTTTCCCAAAATGTAATAGCAAAATAGGCATTTTAACATAATCAAGTTGATATGTTTGTACACCCTCAGGTTTTATTCGTTTGACACAGATTCTGGTTATGAAGCTCAGGCTGGTTCTAATTTGTGATCCTCCTGCCTCAGCCTTCCAATTGCTGGGATTATAGGCATTGCACCACTATGCCTGACTGAGAATTTCTTTTTATTTGTGTGTTTCAGAAAGATCCTTTTGTTCTTTAGGGTTAGGCTTTTTAAATAGTTAATGTCAAGTTTTTGTTTATTTTTAAAATTTCTACTTGATCTTATTAAAATGGGTTCTAGATTGCACATCTCGCACAAATTGAAGATGATAGAGCTGCAATGGTTATTTCTTGGCATCTGGCAAGTGACATGGACTGTGTGGTTACCCTAACCACTGATGCTGCACGTCGCATCTATGATGAAACCCAAGGTCGCCAACAGGTGTTACCCCTTGATTCTATTTATAAGAAGACTCTGCCAGATTGGAAAAGGTTAGAGAAAAGTGAGAGTAATAATCTTTTCTAACACACTTTGTCTGCTTTGTTGCTTTGTAATTCTAGGGATTAAAACCAGGATCTCACACATGCTGAACAAGAGTTCTACTACTGAAAGCTATACCCCCAATCCACAATGTCTATTTTTTATCACAGCTCTTAATTTAAAAATGATTTCTCAGGGCTGAGATATAGCTCAGAGGTAGATCTCTTGCCTACCATAGACAAGGCCCTGAATTAAATTCCTACCACCACAAAAAATATTAAATAAAAATGCTTCCTTTAAAAGGTGTAAAAACAGAGATGTGACTTGAACTGTCTACATATTTTTATCTGCATCACACGTGAGCATACATCATTAATATCAATATTGCACTGTATTTGACCAGATATGCTATGTCTTATTGCCTATTGAACGTTATTTATATTTGTGATATATTATACACTCAAGCAAATACACATACAGATCTAAAGCAGATCTTTGGCCTTTGCAACAGGAAAGGTAGAAGGATGTTTTTATTGCTAATAGAATACAGAACACCTTTATTTGGAGTAAGACTAGAGGTGTGTAAGTTTTGTCCTATTTATAACCTGTGAAAATAAACCACACTTTAAGTAGAAAGGGTCTGTTGCCACGTCATTCACAAATACTAGAATCGCCAGTAGCACAGTTGAAATGTAGAAGTTTCTAGTTGGACAGTTCAATCTTATTTTAATGTATGGATAGTATAAATCTATCTTCTTTAAGTAATTGATACTTCATTTACTTTTCAAAAAGTGAGTTTAGGGAAAATAATTAGGCATGTTAAACTTTTTTTAAAAACTATAGGTACTCTGAGTATGCCTATTTTTTTTAAATTCACCTTAAAAAATCTAGAAGGAAGCTAGCAAAAGAAAAAAAATAAAATGTTAACACAGTATTGGCCAGTAACTTTTTCAGATTTCTAAACAAAGCTTCATGAGACCTGAATTTGGGTCTGAGTGAGGACTTGAAGAAGACTAGCAACTCAAGTATGAGTCTGCTGTGTCAATAAGTGTACATTATTTCATTATATAATTTAAAAGTCAGCTCAGAAAGTAGCTGGGGATTAGACTCATATCTATCAATTTCTGCTACTCTGTTGCTTCCTAACCAGTATCCATTTTTGATAAAATCGGACATCTTGACAGTCACAATTGCTTTGTTAATAAGAGTAATACTTTTTTTGTGAGAAAAAAGATTTTTCCTCCAGAAAGCCCACATTTATCTCTGCACTCCCTAAATACCAAGTTGAGAAAATAATTGGCTTAGGGAAAATATAAATTGGGTACTTAGGGCTAAAGTTTGTTCTAGAATTCGGTTATACTCCATTCCTGTTCTTAGTATTCCACCCTCCCTTCCTTGGGGGCAGAGATTTTTGCTTCTTGCAAAATTAACTGTCTGCCAAAGCCTCCATCATCCCCTCTCCTCACCATATGAAAGGAAATGTCCCTGTCACCATTCATCCACTGTCTCTGAAAACTCCATTGTTTGCCATGTGCTTCAATTGCTTTTTGTGCTCTGCAGAAGGGTCAGGGATTCAAGGTACATAGAGCTGCCTCCCTCACCTGTCTCAGTTTTGGACTTTGTCCCTTCCTGTATCATGTTGGCCACTCTATACATGAGGCAGTTGTGTCCTTGATGTCTTCATATGGATTAGCTTTAAAGGCTGCTTTTCTCCTTTCCTTGTCAAACTAAGTAGTTAGCTTAATTGAGGGTAGCCATGTAGATAAAGCCAGGTAAATATTTTTGTTTTCATTTTTTGGTAGATAGTCAATTTTATGGTCAAAATGAAAATAGTATATTAATAGTTTTTTCTAGTACAGTTTTGAATTAAGTGATACGTGCTTGTTAATACTTCAAATATTTTTTTATTTTAGACCGCGCCTCATTCCGAAATGGAAAATTATATTTTAACCCATTGGAGATCCAGTCTTTGCCGAGATTTGTTAACATTTCCAGATAACATAGAACATTGTGAAACAGGTAAAGAATATGTGGTGCTTTATTTTTATACAGATGGTTACATTTGTGAATTACCAGCATCTATAAATTACTGATTGTGAAAAATTTACTGTTCTTTAGCTATAAGTTGGTAGTTTTTATTATATGTCATTCTGTAATTTTTGCTGTTTCTTAGCATTTTGGCATTGCTGTTAGGAGAACACCATTATTTTTGGATAATTCTGGATGCAGCCATTATCTTATAGGAAAGAGGTATGTATTTAATTTCTTTTTTTTTTTTTTTCATTTTTCTTTTATTATTCATATGTGCATACAAGGCTTGTCATTTCTCCCCCTGCCCCCTCCCTTACCACCCACTCCGCCCCCTCAATACCCAGCAGAAACTATTTTGCCCTTATTTCTAATTTTGTTGTAGAGAGAGTATAAGCAATAATAGGAAGGAACAAGGGTTTTTGCTGGTTGAGATAAGGATAGCTATACAGGGCATTGACTCACATTGATTTCCTGTGCGTGGTGTTACCTTCTAGGTTAATTCTTTTTGATCTAACCTTTTCTCTAGTTCCTGTCCCCTTTTCCTATTGGCCTCAGTTGCTTTAAGGTATCTGCTTTAGTTTCTCTGCGTTAAGGGCAACAAATGCTAGCTATTTTTTAGGTGTCTTACCTATCCTCACCCCTCCCTTGTGTGCTCTCGCTTTTATCATGTGCTCAAAGTCCAATCCCTGTTGTGTTTGCCCTTGATCTAATGTCCACATATGAGGGAGAACATACGATTTTTGGTTTTTGGGCCAGGCTAACCTCACTCAGAATGATGTTCTCCAATTCCATCCATTTACCAGCGAATGATAACATTTCGTTCTTCTTCATGGCTGCATAAATTCCATTGTGTATAGATACCACATTTTTTAATCCATTCGTCAGTGTGGGCATCTTGGCTGTTTCCATAACTTGGCTATTGTGAATAGTGCCGCAATAAACATGGTGTGCAGGTGCCTCTGGAGTAACAGTCTTTTGGGTATATCCCCAAGAGTGGTATTGCTGGATCAAATGGTAGATCAATGTCAGCTTTTTAAGTAGCCTCCAAATTTTTTTCCAGAGTGGTTGTACTAGTTACATTCCCACAACAGTGTAAGAGGGTTCCTTTTTCCCTGCATCCTCGCCAACACCTGTTGTTGGTGGTGTTGCTGATGATGGCTATTCTAACAGGGGTGAGGTGGAATCTTAGCGTGGTTTTAATTTGCATTTCCTTTATTGCTAGAGATGGTGAGCATTTTTTCATGTGTTTTTTGGCCATTTGAATTTCTTCTTTTGAGAAAGTTCTGTTTAGTTGACTTGCCCATTTCTTTATTGGTTCATTAGTTTTGGAAGAATTTAGTTTTTTAAGTTCCCTATATATTCTGGTTATCAGTCCTTTGTCTGATGTGTACTGGCAAATATTTTCTCCCACTCTGTGGGTGTTCTGTTCAGTTTAGAGACCATTTCTTTTGATGAACAGAAGCTTTTTCGTTTTATGAGGTCCCATTTATCTATGCTATCTCTTAGTTGCTGTGCTGCTGGGGTTTCATTGAGAAAGTTCTTACCTATACCTACTAACTCCAGAGTATTTCCTACTCTTTCTGTATCAACTAGAGTTTGGGGTCTGATATTAAGATCCTTGATCCATTTTGAGTAATCTTGGATAGGGGTGATAATTTAACTTTAGTGGAGTTGGTTTTGGTTGCTTTACAACACAGAACAGAAGTGGTTTATATAAATTATTGCTGATTGTCCTATTTATAAGATAAAGGATTGGAGCCTCACTGGGGTTCGAACTTGTGTGTAGCCAGGTGAGAAATTGTTTCTTTCACAGTACTTTCAGAATCCTTCAATGATGTCTATGGAGAGAGTCAGATATGCTCCCTTCCCTCCTGTTTGTCTCCTGGATTGCAGTACTTAATCTGTTTGATGTCAAATTTTGGTCTCCACAAACAGACCATTGAAGTACCTTGTAAGACAAAGGATTTCATCCATAGGCCATCTTTTGTTCCTTAATATAATCACTTGACAGCCCGGGCACATAGCACTAATATTTTTATTTAATAAGGCGAGCCCCTTGAGTGTATAATTACTCCATGTACAGACAACACCAACATGGGTTTGAAGTTTTGGTATACAAAAGTGTAAGATTGATTTAGAATAAAAACAAACTATGTTGTTTACCAATCACAATTTTAGAATGTTTAAATAAAGTGATTTGCCTTGAACATATAAAGGCAAAACTTATACATCATTTATTCCAAGCTTGTTATGTTTCAGGTCCTTATCACAGAGGTAAATAAAAAACTAAGGTTCCTTCATTGAAGAGACTCAGAGACTATTTGAGGATGGGGTCAAATGAACTTGATCGCTTGGAAGATAGAGTTATGAGGAAGAGCTGTTGGTATATCTGAAGAATGAGGAGAGGCCATGGGCCACGCACTCACTGGCTTAGAAATATAGTCACACGGGCAGGACAACTGCACAAAACAAGGACAAAGACGCAGAGCACTCTGAAAGCTGGGAGAAAAAGTGCAATGTGCTGTCTTTCCAGAATAGTATGAGAGTAAAATAAATTACCTGTGCTTTAACTAATTATTTTTAAAGGCCTTACTTTAACTTTTATAAAATCATTTTGAATAATTTTTGAAATTATCTATCACAATTTTGGGGAGTAATGTATAAGGATATATTTTTGAATTCAAAAGATTGATAATGAAGATAGATTTGTTGTTTTTAAGCATAAAGATCAATACAACAAGAAATAACAAAGATAATATATATATAACTATATATTTGTGTGTATGTCTATAATGTAATAAAAGTGGAATTAATAGTATTGACATAAAATTTCCAATCAGGTAAAAAATTGATGCAACCCAGTAGAAGAAAGATTTAACTGCAGATGTTTTTTGCTATCATGTTACAGACAATTATACGGTACCCCCAAAGCCTTCCTGCCTGAACAGCACCAATCATTAATTAAATGTAACAAGACAGATACTTCCAGGAGCCACTCCAAGTGCTGAAAGGAAAACGAAAAAGGAGAAATAAATCAGTGAGCAACCATGAGAAGGCAAGTTAGAGGCCTCCTGAGGAAGGAAGAAGAAGAG